TGGTAGATCACTGAAGAATTTTATTTGGATTTAATTCATATTATAATACAGGAGAAACTAAATACCAGTATGCAAAAAGAGAACTTCTGTATGGACTTTTGAATTTCTAATTATGATTCCTTTACTTACTAGTCCTTAAACCCATTGTCAAGCTAACTCTTTCGTAAGTCAGTAACAGAGGGTTCTTTGAACACTGCAGTTCACTAATGGGGTAGATTTGATCTCCAAAGCAGAACATGAAATCACCTGCCTCTAGTTCTGCTCCTTGAAAATACAATTCAGCAATCTCAGTTAAGAGATTTGTGATCCAAGTTGGGAATGTCTCGTTTTGAAACATTTGCTGGGGGTAAGGATGAAGGGGGAGGAAAGGGTGAAGTGTTGGTTATGCAAGGACACTTCATGCTTTATACTAACTAAATAAAGGGCCCAAATGCTCATGGTACCCAATGAGAGGCAGTTCTGCATCCTGCACCTTTGTTCTATCTTCCATGCTCCTGCTTTAGGCACAGACATTTGTACTGACATAATTATCCTAGGAAAGCTAAGAAGGAGAATGTAATGTGACTATTTATTTCCTGCTGTGGTTTGTGGTAGAGACACAAAAGCTGGCTGGCACAGGGCAAGAGGGCAGCAGCTAAGGGAAGTTTTCAGAGGACACTTGTTCTTTGTCAGGGCCTACGTGTAGCAGTCTGAATTATTTGTGAGAAATAGTCTAAGGCTATGTACTATACCCAGAAGTGAAAATACCGAGATCCTTAATCTGCATAAAACCTAGGAGAGCAAGAACACGGGCAGTGTCTGTCCTGATACGGTCTAACCATACTGAAAGTACAGAGTTTATGTCGGCTTTGTCTCACTGAAAAAATATGTTGCCTCTGGGGATCTGTAAGGAAATCTGAAACCAGTAGTTGCTAAGTAAGATTCCTACACTTTTAGCTTTTGGAAATGTATGCTTACAGTTAAGAAGTTAATGTGAGGGCAAAACAAAGGAACCTAGCAATATTTCAGTTTTGGTAATCGATATCCAAAAACATACAGCTATATCCCAGAACTTAGAGCCAAAATATCTTACAATCAAAGGCAATTTCACTGCTCAGTTACTGGCTCATATCGTACATGGACTTGGTTGTGTTTCTGTTGCAGATTCTGAGGCTATATTAAACAAATGAGAAGTTGTAAACAAAATAATTTTGAAGTATTTTTCTTTTACAGCAGACATGCTGTACCTTCTAGTCCTGCTTGTGGTAGTTCCTTCACTAATAATGGCTGTGTGCCTCTGGAAGATGAAGTGGTAAGCTATAATGCATTTTCTTCTTGCAGCCAGAGAATGCAAGTAGTGTAATTCACAAACCACAGCTGCTTTTTGTTGCTTCTAGCCTGTTACAAAGCCTTCTTCATTTTTACTTTGACTGTCCATCTGTGTGGATGCTGTAAGTATTTGGCTTGCAGCATTTCTGAGACACTCATCATTTCCAGCTGTTTCTCTACACATCTAGTGTTGCTTTGGCTGGCAGAATATGCTTTGATGAGAGAACAAAGAAACATCACTTGTTTTGCTTTCTTGTTTCCAGGGTGAAGGATTGCTGTTGTCCTGTGATACCTAGTCCTAACAAGAGCAAAGTGCTATCATTCAAAGAGTTTAAAGTAAGATCACTTGAAATCTAGTATTTTTTATTTTTCCCTTCTTGATTAGTAAATATTTTCTAGTGTTAGCTACATTTAACATGAGTGACACTCACATGCAGAAATGAATGCAAATTAATATCCCCCTTTCATGGAAAACTTAATGATAGCTAGATACAACTAAAAGTGAAAGTAAAATTATACACCAAGTGGAATTTTTTGGAGTGCTTCTTCCAGCATTACTTTTCAAAAAGCAGTGCTATCTGAACATAACAGAACATACTGTGGGATGGTGCACTTTGAAGCAGCCTACTGCTGTATCCACCTATCCCTTGGCTGCACGCATCCCTTATGCTGTCATGCGTAGGAAAGAGTGTGATCTACTTAATGATTCCTGGGAGGATGCATGGGACTCTGCCAGGTCTGGTGGTGAGGAAAGAATCGGTTAAAGGCCCTAAGCTTCCCCTGTGTGTCCTATAAACCAGGAGCTGCTGCCTTAGTGCCATGTGCAAAGGAGCTGCATCAAGAGCACTTGTCAGCAGGGCAAGGGAGCTGATTGCCCCCCTCTGCTCTGCTTCGTTGATGCCAGTCCTGGGGATCCCAGCACAAGAAAGACATGGAACTGATGGAGGAGGTCCAGAGAAAGGCCACGGAAATGATCGTAGGACTGGAGCACCTCCCCTCTGAAGATCGACTGAGGGAGCTGGGATTGCTCAGGCTGGAGGAGGCTCATGGGAGACCTCATCGTGGACTTCAGTGCTTTAAGAGAGCTTATAAGAAAGGTGGAGGCTCACTTTCTATGCAGTATGATAGTGATAGAGCAAGGAGGACTGGTTTTAAACCAAATGAAGGGAGACTGGTTAAAAGTTTGGAGGAGATTCATTATTCAGAGGGTAGTAAAGGACTGGCATGTGTTGCTCAGAAAAGCTGTGAATGGAGGCACTCAAGGCCAAGTTGGATGGGGCCCTGGGAAGACTGTTCTAGCGGGTGCTAACCCCTGCCCCTAGCTGGGCTTTAAGGTTCCCTCCAACCCAAGCCATTCTGTGAACATATAAAGGATTGAGTGGATATGGCCCTTACTGCCATATCCACTGTCCCTTAAAATACCTCCAGCAATGGGGACTCCACCACTTCCCTGGATGGCCTGTTCCAATGCTGTGTCCTTTTGTATGAGAGATACTCTGTGAATTTCACATAAAATCCAGCTTTCATCAAACATTTTGTATTTTTCATTAATTTCTGTAAATTTCATTTAATTCAAACTCAAAAAATTGATAATTTTACAAGCATTTAATTTAATCACTCTTTTCTTTACTCTTGAATTCTTTCACTGAGCACTTTTTTGTGTTTGATGCTTCTCCTGTAGATTGGTACTGAGAAAGTACTAAAGCTAAGTGACTGCATTCCTGACACCCTAGCACTGGATAATAAGGCTGAGGCTAGAAAATTACCTCCACGGAGCCTGATGTCTTCAACGCCAACAGAAGATAAGATTGATGATCAGAATCTTTCCTCAGTTTATCATAACAAAAATGAAGAGAGAAACTTTCCATCCACACCTACACCTCAGACTTATACTTGGTTTGAAAATTTTGCTTATTCTTCTCAACTTGCAGTTGAAACCAATCCCTATGAAGCACCAGAGACACTAGAAACCAGCAAGGGAGAAGTGTCAGCAGTGCTGTACCAGCCACAGTACTACCTCAATATTCTGAATGATGCTTCCACCTCATCACCTGGAGAAGCAGCTGGCAGGAAGAGCAATCTGAGATACATATCACAAACAGATGTGCACTGCACTGGAAGGAGGCTCTTTGACTGAGTCTGTCGATTGGTTGTGTTTTAAAATGCAAACACGAATTTCTGAAGGCACAGCAACTTCCCTTTCTGATACAGGCTTTCACAAGCCCAGATGTCCCCCTCCTGTTATCCCTGCAAAGCTGTACGTTGGTGACTAGTTCAAGGCTTTTGCAGTGAAATGCTGCATGCTATCTTTTGATCAGAAGTTACTGGCTTTGGAATTTGCAGGCCAATGTTTTGCAGCCTGTAACATGCAGTGGGAACCATCTTCCCATCAGGGCAGCTGTTTGTGGAGGAGTTAGCAACACTCTTGTAGTGCCTTTTTTGGCATTACTCCTTGCAAACACCAGACAACTATGTAAGCAGACACGAGTCAGATGCAGTTAGTTATATTAATCCCCTTTGCAAAGAAGATGTTCAGGCTCTCTATCAGCTAGATCTTCAGATACTGTTGTTTGCATGTTAAAAAAAATAATCTTCCTCCAGCTAGCAATGAAGGAAGGGCCTGCTGGCTGTCATTTTGAAACTCACAAAGACATTGATTTTGTACTAGCACATTTTAGCTTGCAGCATTTGTAGATACATGAATTGAGCACTATGACTTTGTGATAACTGAGAATTTGAACAGCATACTGAGGTGAACTTGGTCATCTTTGATTTTCAAAAATGTTTGTAAGGAAGCACAAAGATTATATCCTTCATTTTAAAAAAAGGCTTATTTAAAGAAAACTTGAAAGGCTGACTAAAATCAAGAGTAGGTATCTAAGGAATTCTCACATAGGACTCACTGAAAAAGTCAAGATTGTCCCACAAACCACGTATTAATCACGTATTAATATTTGATGTGGTGCAGGTTCATTATGGCAGAGGGGGGGGCTCTGATGAGGTGTTATTTCATACTTCTGAGCTGCTGTTGCTGGGGCTTGGCTGCAGCAGCTGAGCACAAAGTGGCAGGGATACTATGGGTGGAGGTCATGCAGCTGGTGCTGCCCTCCTGATGGTGGGTGAGGTACTTGGGCCGCTCCGGAGCTCCCATCTCAGCTCCAGCAAAGGCGGTTCACATGGTCTTTCCAGTGAAAGCATTCTGTCATTCGGAAGCAAGAGAACAGCTTACCAGCAGGTACAGGCCTGCCTGGCAGCCTGAGAGGTTAGTTCTTCTGCCTGTCTGTGGGCCGATAGTTTCACAAAACGCAGGAACAGACTGTTCCAAGGAGAACAAGGCTTTTGTGTAGGTGGAAGGGTATAGCGAGGGCACTAGAAAAGTACTTCTCACACGGGGATAGAGAGGCATGTAAATGCCTCTTTTTTTTTTTCCCCTTCCCTCTAAGACATCTGTCTTGTATTAATAATGGCTGAATGAGTTCAAAACGGAAAGATTTATTTCTTGTTCATAATTCAGCTTTCACATCTGCTGTTGAAATGATAACACTTGAATTGTACAAACATCACATAGTGGAAAGTGACTAATTCTCAGTATCAGTACTATAAAGTTTTAAAATAAAAATGGTGTATAAAATACTAAGGAGTCCCCTTCTATTTTTACAGGACATCTTACAAAGTACTAATGTAAAATATACTTTGACAAAAAATGTTTATTTGGAAAGCTTCAGCTTGTTCTAGTTAATTAGTAACATACAAATATAAATAAAATTCTAATCCATTTCTAGCATTGAGAGGTACATATGAGACCAGAACAACTACGAGAAGTTTAAGTACATTTTATTAACAATGCATCCCTTTGATAAGATTATGCTTCAGGAGGCTTTTAATGCCCATAGACATAACTGTACACACTATACAAAAAAAAAGAAAAAGAAAAAAAAAAAAAAGAAAAAAAAGAAAAAAGAAGAAAAAAAAGAAAAAAAAAAAAGAAAAAACCACAAAAATCAAGGTGGGCAACACCATTTTGGGACAAGCCTCTGTTTAAATTATACACAGCTCAATGCAATATTCTTACGGAAAATATATAAATACTTTTTCTTTCTATGTTACAGGTATACAATATAAATCAGATTTCAATGTCTGTTCAGCGACCTACAAACACTAGAACCTCCAAATATGTAGCAGCGTATTACTAAATAAAGACAACATGGGGCAGGGAGAGTAAGTCTAGAGATTTTCCTTGATCCCTTCCCTCCTCAGAATGATTAATTTACATCATCTCCTCTAATGCAGTTTTAGGGATGCTGACAGCCCAGTATTGGAACAATGTTTTAATTAAGCCTATAAAATGTCTACCTTTACTCCCTAAGATATTGCATCTTGTGATGAAACAACCTACTCTGTGGCAAAATGGCATGTTACACTTTTATGGCATAAATTACATTTCTCAAATTAAATACTGTGTTTTACAAAGCAATTTAAGCAAAATGTGCAATTTCTGCATGCTGTGGCGTTACTATTTGTCTATGTCACAAAAATAGCCCTAAGAAAATACACATTCTTTACTGAACATACAAAAGCCAATGAAAATAACTGTCCAGCAAACCAGAACCAAATTAAGCCAAACGAGACGAACCACAACAGGGAGACTGGAGCTTTGACCAAGATAGAAACAGTGTTTCTACCATGTTCCCAAAGGACTGGTCCTGTCCTCACCTTGTATACCTTTAATAAGAACATGATAACAAAGTGTAACAGAAAGAATGTTCAGGACTGGCTTCCAGCTGCCTTCACACAGAATCCCCAGTAACAGCACTTCTGCACAGCAGGAGGCGAGCAGATCCAAAGCATGGCAAGAACTTCACCGTGATTCCTCAGCTTGAGCTCATGCTCACAAGTTAACATAACCTTCCTGAAGGCCAAATCGCCAGCCATCAAGACAAGCGCACAGATTTGCAGTTGAAGCAGCAACTACTCTTTGATTTCTCACTGGGATTCAATTGCCTATTGTTTTTGAAATGTTTCTCACATAGCTGTCTTCACTGCGAAGCAGTGAGAGCGCCATACATTTCTTCGGCTTCTCAGTGCATATTACAACTCTCATTCAAGACACAACATGCATTTCAAAATGACAAGAAAATGACCAGTACTGTTGCTACTACCTTTTAAGATGTTTCTAAGGGCAGTTCACCTCAGTGTGCCAACCTCTGCACCCTGAACTACAGGCTATTGTTTCTTGTGGGGAAAAACTTGGGGCCTATATGTCAGGTCAAATAAGAGCTGCCAGATAAGGAAAAGCATCTGTCACCAGCACAACACGCCAAGGGTCCAGCATACAAGCTTAGAGTACCTCAAAGCCTGACTATCTACAGCTCCAAGTGACAACCACACAGCTGGAAGCATTCAGCATCCCTGAATTTCAGGCATCAAAAGCTTCCTCCTCCTCCCTGTGCAGTGCAGAGCAGCAGGAAATAACTCAGAGCCCTGGAATTACATCTCTGCCCTTTGAAAAGGGCTCTCCCTTTTCACTGGCTACCAAAGATGACCAAGAAAGTGAGTCAGATAATTTAGAAGGCTACATTGCCCTGGTTTCATAGTCAGGCTCTCCCTCCCACGAAGGCTTCCACCTCAGACCTGTTCTGAGTATTTCCCATGTGAGCACACTTCAGCAGTCACAAGTTTCCTTTGCCACAGCAAACTGAATCTGTGTCAACGAGCGCTGTCTGCTTTACCATTTGTTCGACTGTATTCCAACCATGAGTGGGTCTGTCAGCTTCCCTTCCTACCCCTTCTAGGAAAAATAGAAGGATTCTTTATTAGGTTTAATAGACACATTTTTTTTTTTTAATTTACCACAGCTTTCTTTTGAAGTTTTATCATGATGCAAATAAAGCCCCAAAATAAGAACTTTAAAAGGGATATTTAAAACAAACAAACAAACAAAAAAAGCAACTGATAGAATTAGAAATTCACAGTTTATAACTAGGTATCAGTATCCCTTCATTTGCCAATTAAAACGAAACACTAGTAAGAGCTTAATGTAAATTAATTCTAGAAATGTATGTTATGTACAGACTTTACAACCTTTATGTTTACTTGTTGAAATCTACTGACACACACACTTTTAGAAAAAATCATTTTAACTAAATTTGCAGCAATAATACAGACATCAAGTTTCTGTAGTCTTGGATCCCCATTACAAGCAAGTATATTAGGAAATTTAAGATTCTAAATCTTTCAAAAGTATACTGACATTGCTTTGCTTACCTTTTTCTATAATCAGAGGCCTTTCTATTGCGCTTTCTACTTTAAGTGCTATGTATTAAGCTGGTAACAAATGAACACGTGTGTTTTATTTAAATACAGGTGATAAAATTTGTTTATTTTGCTTTAACTGAAAAAAAAAAAAAAAAAAAACACAAAAAAACATGGAGTTGTTTGATGTAACCCCATCTAGTTGCTAAAACAAATCTCTTGTACTCTAGCCTAACTGAGGTAGTGTTTGAAACTACTGTGTAAGATACACCAGCCCCATTTTTGGGAAAATTACATTACTTCCTTTGGAGTTTACACCACTATTTGGTCTACTGTGGTTGGCATTTTGGTTTTACAGAAGATTTCTTACAACCAGAGAAGTCCATCACTGATGTGGTATGTTTTCAGAATATTTCAAAACATTTCTTGACACTGATACATTATTTCTGTCACTGACTACCAAATATTTGAATCTGAAGATTTGCCCCTTCTTTCAGTGGGAACTCACGAGAAGAATCTTAGGAACTAGACTTGGCTATGAGCAGCAACTTACAGATCTGCTTTATGAGATCCTGATGGTACACAGTGCATATAAGAACTCAGTGAAGTGATATCTGCAAAGCAGTGCTTATGCAGCAAGATGAAGTTTTCAATAAAAGCAAGTAAATTTTAAAATGTCATTAGGATTCATGTTCTACTGCTCACGAGACAACTTACTGAAACCCCCAGTAGCATAGCTAGTAAGAATATGGTTATGAGTATCACTTATCTTATAAATTTCACTTATCTTCACTTAAGTATTAATCTGATAATTATAAAAATGGTAAAAGTGAATGGATAAAAATACGTTCTACTTAGTACAGTCCAGCTGAATTATTCACCTATATCAAAATCAAAGGGTAACCCCTTCTATTACAGTCATTCTAACAAAGGTGGCCATGCTACTGTATATATACACATTTGCATATATTTTTATTACCCTTGTATGAAGGCTTCTGACTTTTTAGATGCGTTATAGAAGTGATGGGACTCCTATATTTTTCTTCTCCATTAGGATTGCACTTTTTACTTTAGAAACTTCACCAGGTTGTTAGAGGCATGTGTTTTCCTCATTAACAGTCACTGTATCATATAACTTTCACAAGTCTCAAATACCAACATAAAATTTTAAGTTCTGTTGCTTCAAAGTTTGGTACTTAAGGCTTTTCACTACAATTATTAGCACTGTCTGATGCTTGACCGCTCATCCACTGAAAACTCAATCAAACCTTTGTTTTTATAAAAGGCTGTTCTCATGGAATTTGGAAAACCGCTCTTATGCCTTCTCACAAAAGCAGCAATGATTAAATGTCTTCAAGTCTAGTTTATACAATATTCATTTATCTGATACAAATCATGCCTGTTAAAGGTTTTTAGTTAAGAATAAGACCAACATTCACACTATATGAGCATGAGCATAGAAACTGCAAACGCATGCATATCATTCAGGGAAAACAATTTGACTTCAGCATTTTAACTTTAAATGATTTTCTATTTTTAAATCAAACTGTAGTGAAAATCCTTAAATGGTTCAGATAAGATACATGTATGTAAATGTAATGAAAATGGAGAGATTGCTAATAAAATGACTTACAACTACAGTAACATTAAAATAACTTAAAGGAACCTCAGATTCAGAGGCTTTTCTTTCTGTCTGAAGTTACAAACCCCCCAAGTAGTGTTATAAACAGTACAAAAATCAACAGAAAAGATCTAACATTTATCCCCTGCTGTCCACAATCACAGCACAGCTCCCCATTGCTGGCAACGGAATGCACCCTCATCCAACTCCTGGGGTTTTATAATAGAAAGAAGAAAAAAAAAAAAAAAAAAAAAAAAAAGCAAGGCATAATTCTGCTTCTCCAGAACAGAATTAGAAGTCAATCATAGGTGTCTCTGTGTGTTGTTCTGTTTTTTTTTTTTTTTTTTTTTTTTTTTAAATTTAAGGTAAAAAATGAAATGAAAACTTGTGGAGGTGTTCAGTGCTCGGCTCTTGCATATACTGATAATTACTATTATTAGAACTACATAATGTTTAATAAATCCCCAAGGGACTCCATAGACTAGGGCAGTAATTGGTTGAGGAAGAAAAGGTTTTTCAGTTCGTTCTTCAGGTACCAGTAGCTTCTGGAACAGTCTAAAAGATGATGCTCCAAACTTTATTATCCGCTCAATTGGAGGATGTCTGAGAATTCCAGGAAGCCTGTATGCAATTAACTGTGTGAGACAGAGGTCAGGATTCAGCTGATACATCAGTTACTGGTTGCTTTGTTGGTGTTGCTAAAATAGCCTCTGCCTCTTCATGCATCTGGAAGAAGAAGAAGTCACGTGAAGTATTAATGTCATTACAGATTTTACAAGAATTGCAAAAGACATTGCAAAATTGTTTTTAATAAAAATACCTGGAAGCATTTATTATTCAGTGTAATGAAACCTACACCCCACACATTTTGGTTCCTTCCAACCATCTGAACCTTCCTCTTACCTGTAAGAACTGCACATCTTGAAACAACTCCTGAATGAACCTTCTGGATGGGAGTCGAAATGTACAATGTGCTAACAGGTAGGACACCTCAGAATACAGGCATATGTCATCAAATGCTTGAGGATACTTCTCCTTAATTCTGATTAACAGCGAGAAACAAACAAACAAACACAGGTTTTTACAAATACTGAGAGAAGGTTTCCATAATGTTCTTTAAAACTGTACAATTAAATCCTGAGTTTCATAATTAATGAACAAGAACTCTTCAGTAATAGGTATTATAAATTCCGGATCTGATGGACAAAGAAAAATCAGATCAGACAGCATCATGTCTTATAAAATTAGAAGAAACTTGCATTAAAAAGATGAAATAGAATATTCTATACACCTTTCAGAATTGATATATAAGATTACCAAGTCTCTACAACAGATACTAAAAAAGAACTGCAGAGGCATTCACAAGTATTGCTATAAAAAAGTAAATACAGAAAATATAATGTATATCTTATAAATAGGATGACCACTACCGAATTTTCTTTTAGCAGCTGCATGCCTGTTTTCAACATCAGCAGTCCAGAAGCCTGGTTTCTATCACAGTGTATAGTCTCTGTATTTATATTCTATATTTTTACCACGACTTTTGAATATGAATTAACACCAGTAATTGCACTCTTCCTTCAAGCAGATTTGTGTTTCTCAATTAGTTATTTTGCCATTTTGACTACATAACTCAGATTGTAAAAAATAAACACAGCAATTATCTTTTTTTTTTTTTTTTTTTTTTTAAGATTAAAGACAAAATGAGTATACAGTGAAACATCATTCTCTCTGTACTCAGCACTGATGGGGCTGTGTTCAGTTCTGGGCTCCTCACTACAGGACAGACATCAAGGCCTGGACTGTGTCCAGAGGAAGGGAAATGAAGCTGATGATTGGTCTGGAGCACAAATCTTTTGAGAAGTGGCTGAGGAAATTGGGATTGTTATAGTCTGGAGAACAGGAGGCTCAGAGGAGGTTGCAGCAAGATGAGAATTATCCTGCTCTCCCAGGTAATTGCTGACAGGATGAGATACATCAGGGCAGGCTCAGCTTGGACACTAGGAAAAAAATCTTCTCTGTAAAGAGTGGTAATACACTGGAAGAGACTGCTGAGGGAAGTGGTGGAGCCACTATTCAAGAAGCATGTAGACATGGTACTTAGGGACATAGTTCAGTGTGCACAGCAGTGATGGACTGATGGCTGGATTGGATGATCATAGAGGCCTTTTCCAACCATAATGATTCTGTAATTCTATACTGTTGGATTAGTGATTTGAAGAATGCGAAGAGAAAGACAAAAACAGAGCAAAAAATATTATAAGGTAAATTCTTTGCTTAGCCTTTACACAATGTTCAGCTATCTCCAGTCCACCACAACAGTTTTTGCTTGATGCTATTTTAAGAAGATGCTATCTTAAGAAATAAGATCAAATTTCACCAGACATAAACAATATAAACAGAATATAAACAACTGAATGTTGATAAAACATCTGAAGTGTATTTAACTTACGTCAGGAGTCCAGTTTCATGGCCCTTAGTTCCCACTGAACTACTCAAATTGATTACTAAACGTAAGACCTCTTTCCGGAGAAGTATTCTGCACACTGGCGTATCATCTGGGATTGATTTTACTCCTGAAAAAAAAACAATTGAATCAATTAGCAAATAAGCACTTTGATTGTGCTAATTTTACATCACGTAAGCCTGTTTTGAAATTCCATATACACGTACATGCACACACACATACAAACACTTCCATATATATTTTCAGTGCTCTTGAATACTCATTAAGACTTAAATACATTTTTTCAGGAAGCTTTTTTTAAAGGTATACTAGCATTTCAAAAATACGGAGAGACAACTGGAAAAACTGGAAACTAAACACAGACTCAACTGCAGCACTGCATCTATTATTAAAGCATGCTGCTGGGTGAGATAGCACTAAGAAGCTACATTAATTCAAAATAGAAAGTGAATAAAAAACTGAAATGTCTCTCTTTAAAGAAAATCTGTACTTCCTTTAAAGATCTTTTACTTTTTTTCTACAGCATTATGTTAAAAAGAACAAAAAAGTCAACCTGATCACAATGTAAGATAGAGAGATGTTTAACTGCAAAATTCCATACAATCAAAGCAGAATTTTCAAGTACATTTTCCTATCTGACATCATAATGTACAATGCAGCTACCTTGTTGATAAAGTCATCCAAAAGTGGTTTATTTTAAATAACAGACACAACTTCATTCCAGTACGAAAAAAAATTCCACAGTACTTAAAATACTGTAAGAGCTATAGCTTCTAATAATACTAAGCTTTCAAACTCACCTAGTACAAGCTCTGTACTCTTGGTGCTGCTGGCTGAACCGTGGGATACTGCATCACTACAGCCTGAAATTCCAGAAAATTTGGAGGAATGCACATCTAAGTGATTGTGTATGGTCTGCCCACACCAGTCAGTATATGGAATGTCTGAGAAATCTGACAGAAACAAAATGTTGCATCTTTGTTACTCATGTTTTTCCTCACCTGATTCTTTTCAATGTTGAATATACAATCCCCCAACACACTTAGTATGGTAACTGCCAGCATAAAAAAATAAGTTGGAAATTGGATGCTGAATTTTGGACAAATTACATTCAAAATGTTTCAAAATCTTTTACATGTTCAAAAAGCTTTTAGAGATATCTAAAAAGCATGCAAACAACTCGTCAGACTAAGGCCCCTAGAAATTGAGAAGACCAATGTCCACAGAAATACCATTAACTGCATAAGAAGTTTATTAGTAAGAATTAATTTCAATAAGAAAAAAACTAAAGACCCATGACTTAAAAATGAATAAAATCCAGCATTCTCATTCAGTTTTATCACACATCCCCATAAGGAACACAGACCTGTACGATTATATGAAGAGTTCACTTTGTTATTAGGCTGATAACCCAAAATTTGAATGCAGACACAATAAAGGCAGTTCTCATCTGTGTGCTCCTGTAATCCAGTATCCTCTGTATTTTCTAAAAACTGAGAGGCATCTGAACGGCTGGTATTCATTATTTCTGTGAGACTGATCTGCTGTCGGAGCATCTGAAAAGGACTTTTGACAGAGTCACTAGTGCCTGATGGAAGACCTGTAGATAAGCAGGTAAAAACCAGTACAACAAGACCATCAGTTAATACTACACAATTTTAATTAAATTTCGTATTCTAAAGCTAGGGGAGGATCTAATAATTTTTTAGTTTTTGTTTTATTATTTTAAACTCCTAAAATCTGTTAAAATTCTAGAAATAAACATCAAGCTTTAGCCGCAGCTTATCAAACATAACACAGTATTGCAAAGGACTGAATTAAATCTCTCAACATACACAAGGCATGCAGTTAATTCCAAAAAGTACATCGATAGAGAAAACTAACACCCTAACACCAATATGTTACAAATATTCATAACATCCAACAAGATTAATACAATATATCCAAAGTATACGTTGTATATTCACAAATGAAAATAGAAACCATTTTAAGAACCTTGCTCGACATAAAGAAACTAAACTTACTGAAGGAAAAGGACAAAGTCTTTAGAGCTCTTCCTTGGATAGAACATATCAACAAGTAAGTTATAAACCAAGTATACTGCAACTTAGCAAACCACAGCAACATTCCTTCAGGAAAATCAGAGTTATACATTACACTACAATCATGAAAGACAAGAAGTAGGATGTGTTCATCTGTCTCCTCAAGTGCCTGTAATAAGGTTTCAGTAATTGAGAAACAAGACAACAGCTATACTACACTACTCTGGAACCAGTATCTATGTTTTGAACTGTCCTACTGAAACTAAACAAAACAAACAAAAAAAAAAACCAACACCACATATTGATGCCCTACAGACTTGCAATTGCTCTTGAAAGTGCTTTCCAGAACAAGTCAGGCATTTGTAAAGCACTGGCAATTCTTTTGTACCATGTCCCATCACCTCCAATGATCAACTGTTACAGAAACATCACAGAAAGATACAATTTACTTCTGAAATAAACACCTACTCCGTTTATTAGTTCCTATAAATCCATATGTTAAGAGTAAAATTTCCACATAGCATTTATATATTTTATTTTATATTTATATATTATATTTATATAAATATTATTTTTATATATATAAACATTAGCTTAAATATATATATTTTTTATACACACACACACACACACATATATGTAAGCTTGAATAGTTTTCTTTTTTAAATGCACTATCACAACCCATCAACAGCTAGCAGTAGTTCATCACATTACAATGAACTGGTGGATGTAGTTCATGCTGAAATTACACTACCTTTCTTTGTAGTGGATCAAAAAAAAAAAAAAATGAATTAACCATCTACTATCCTAAAATCCAGAACATAGCTGTCAAAGCTCAACAACTAATAATAACCTTTTCTGTAAACAGACAAAAAAAAAAACAACCCAAACAATTAAACCCAACCAACATAAATAAAAACAAAAACAGGAAGTTACAAAAGAGAAAAAATATACCTCCTGCCTCAGGTGCAAAAACTCTTGCTCCATGGTCATCAAATGGAGGTGTAGTTTTCTTCTGGAAATATGGAGTCTCTTTTACCTGGAACATTCCAGAAACAATCAAATTTTGCACAGTTGAACAATTTTATACCCAAAGAAGAACAGATTTTGTGAAGGTAACTACAACAGAAAGACCTAATAAGAGTACTAAAGTCAAGCCAATGAAAGCAAGAAAACAGATTCTGAATAAACACTTACAAAGGCTTATAAAAAATCACTAAGTGGAAAATACATAGTGATGGCCTGTGAGATGCAGAGATGAACGAGAAGAAGTGAAGCAGCACAGATATACCATAAAGATCATGAAGAAAAGAAAAACAAAGCAATCACACAAAGGAGAACAGAAAAGTAGTACAGGAGATCATGCCTTTGCTTTAGTTATTTCTGATAAAGGAAGGAGGTCTTAAATGCAAAGACTAAGTAAATTAAAGGTAAGAAAGCCACAGATTAATGTTTGACGTAGATCATATCCTCTCTGATAATTACATAACTGATTATTAAACTACGTGAGTTATCAGTATGTTACAATGCAATGTGTTTTAACTAAACAGATAGAAGGCAACTGGCAAGACACAGAGACAACCACAGAATCAAAGGAGTTGGAAAGGACCTTTACATATCAAGTCCAATCCCCCACCAAAGCAGTTTCCCTACAGCAGGATGCAGGCACAGATATCCAAGTCAGTCTTGAATATTTCCATAATACATTCCTTGGATGTGCAACATACAGTTTACCTCCTTTCTGTAGATCTACTGTGCTCTGATGCAAATGTAACAATTCACTACCTTCCATTAAGAAATGCAAATGAACCCATTTATAGCATCACATACATACCTGAAATATTTCATTGATATCCACTGGGAGAGCAAGGCCAATGTAATCATCAGAGCTTCCATATGTAGCATTAGAAACCATGGAACGAACAGAGGAAGAACGCTGAAGTGTGTTTTGGTTAATAGGACTTAATAAATCTTCCTTATCTAACGAAGCATAACTTAAAGCTTTCATGAATCTGTAACAATAAACAAATTGCAGTCTTAGTAAATCTGTCATCCTTGCACATTACAAATAAGAAGGGCTGTAGTCACAAAGACTACCCTAATTTTTCCTTTGTAGAATCCAGAGCTTGTTTCTCCTGTAACTACATATTTGTTTCTGTTCTGCATACTGTCACAGTGCCTTGCTTTGCAGTTCATAGGGAAAAATTTGTGATCTCTTTCGAAGCCCTAGGACATGGACTTGAAAAATAGTTGGATAAAGCTTCTGCTTAATTGGCTGCCAACGCTATAAAAGCACAAGTTTTATTCAACTTAAGTCTGAAAATATACAGCCCAGACACAAATCAGTGCAGATTTCAGCTTTTAAACTGCTAGAAGTCTCGTATTTGAGTACATGTTTGAGTATTCCGTACACAAAATGTACAGACACAATGATTATTCACAAATTCAAATCTCAGGCAGATTACTGCAAATGCAAAGCCTGGACCTGCTAGGAACCAGAGATGGAACACTTCCTATACTCCAAGGACATCTTCGTGTGGAAGAAGAATTTGCTCAACTGATGAATACAAAGAACAAATGTGAAGCTGCACAGTGAGCAGTGCTGACTGTGACGAGCAATCTGAGGAAGAGAGAAATAGGTTGGAAAAATGAGATGGGAGATCAGAGGTTGGAGAACATGCCCTAGTGCTGCTATTAGTCTTGAAGATGAAAATCTCATCTGGCCACCTCTCATTTTATTTATAAAATTCTATTTTATTTCATTTAATTGAAATTATAAACCTATAAATGCTTTCTTCAAATCAAGCAAAAGCAGATTGCCTACACAATGGAATAAAACCTCCTATTCCACAATAACTGCACAAGAGCTTATCTACTACGACAAGACTGCTTCATTCTTTCATCACTGTTCTTCCTCAAAACGAAATTAAAGGAAAAAAAAAATCCACACCTAGAAAGTCGTATTTAGGTTTACGTAAAAAAAAAAAAACTGAAAAGGTTAAGAAGATACAAGTACTAAAAAAAACTGCCAATTACTATGCAGAGCCATAAAAAGGATTACATTGCTGCCATGGTTTTGGCTTGTGTAGAGTTAAGTGCTTTGGACATTTGATAAAAACATCAATGTTTCAGTTGCTGCTGAGCAGAGCCAAGGACAGCTTCTCACCGTGCCCTGCCGGCTAGGGCAATGCAGGGTGCTGGAACGGAACAGAACCAGAACAGCTGACTAAACAAGGCAAACAGATGTTCCATACCATACAATGTCACGCTGAGCAATAAAAGCTGAAGGAAAGAAAAAGGCAAAAAGGGCTGAGGGAATGTTTGGAGTGATAGCATTCATATTTGTGACAGTTGCTGCATGCGTGGAGCCCTGCTGTCCCGGCAGTGGCTGAATGCCCACCTGCTGATGGGAAGGGGTCAATAAATTCCTCATTGTGCTTTGCTTACACTAGGGCTTCTGCTTTATCTGTGCACTGTCTTTAACTTATCCCTGAACTTCTTGCACTTTTACTTGATTCTCTTCCCATTCCAGTCAGTGAGCATCCATGAGGTGCTGATTTGCCTGATTGTGTAACACCGTAACGGTATCACAGCATAATCAGAAAAACTGTGTTTGTTCACCAGAATCAATGCCTTATTTAACGCACATACGTTACTACATTAGACTGAAAGAGATGGCGTGTAGTGATCAAGAAATTGTCCACACGAGCACAGCTTGATTCAGGAGAGCTGGTATGAAAATAAAACCCAATGCTATTTATCATTCAAAGATAGCCAAGAGTGGTGGAGAGACTTTTGAGGTAAGAGCTTCAAGAGTAAGAAGCTTCAAGCGTGACAATGTGTTCTGAACATCAAAAGACACACATTTCTCAGGAACAGTTTTTCTTAGATTGCTGCAGATTATTACACATCAGGAGCTAGTGTGTCGTGAACATTTGATTTTTTGAAACGGACTTTCTGTCCTGGAAATTATTTCCTGTAATTGTTGTAGGTCTTTGGTTGTTGCTGTTGTTTAGGTGGACAACTGAGCTGCTAAGGATTGTAAGATTGTGACAAATTTACACTGAAATCAAAACAAACCATTGTGTTTTGATCATGTGAAGTTCATGCAATGGCCAAGTCAATGAAAGACTATGAGGACATCGCTACTCTTCCTATACTGACAACTACTGACGAATTCTTACAAATGCTAAATACAGTAGTGGCAGAACTGCACTAAGTCTCAAGCCATACTTGAAAACCCAGATTAGTTAACAATTGCAGATTTTATTTCATAATAAAATGTTCTATAATTGCTTTCAGTTTAAAATTACAAAAAAGTATAAACTGTAATTATTTGCCTTTGCTTATCCTGGCAAATCGTGCATGTAGGTACTAGTAGGAGAGCACAGCAGGAGTTGAGATAAACACCTTAATATTTCTTATTTGCCATTAAAGATTGAGGTGGAAAATTTGTATACATTATTTTGCGAGGCTAAAGAAATAAGCTTGTCGACTTTTTGACAGAACCGACCAGCTAAAAAGATCACCAATGACTACTTCTTGGCCTTGGAAGACAAACAGGACAGAATATCTCTTCCCATTTTACTTAAAGAGCAGTTCAGGACAGTTTATTTAACTGGAAGCAGTAACATATGCAGAAATTGAATAGACCAACCTCTCTAATCAATTATATCAGTAACCAAGACAATCCAACAACCTTTCATAATATGCCACTCTAGTTTTCAACTTTCTTAATGAGCACTTCAATCACTGCAGTTCTATGTTAGGAATACCGTTAAGTATTACATTACATGCCGAGTCTCAAGATGGAAGTCCACCTCAGCAAGGCTCACTTTGCAGATCAAATGCATGAATGCAAGGAATGCTGCAGCATGACTACAGCAACAATAGAATTTGTTAAGCCACTGATATTGCACTGACTTGTTCCTATTTTACACAGGATACCAGTAACAGAGCAAAGAACAGCACTTTCTGTTTGCCAGGATGGCACATCTTAACTACTGAATCATCCTCAGAATCATACTCAGTTTACTTCTAACTTAACTGATCGAAGGTAACAAAACCCTTCTATGACATTTATGCAGAATCTTCTGAAAATATCAACATATTAATATTATTCTTAATCAAGACGAAAATTAACAGTACCAAGCAGATGTTATATACACACAGCTGGTTGTGTGGAATGCAATTGCAATTCTGTGCAATCAGGAGGTGACTAATGTAACTTCCCCCATTTCATTCCTGTGAGAAAGGATGTTTAGGAAAAGTAAATGATAGAACGTGTATTTTTCCTTCCAATGATTACTTGAAAATCCAACCCATTAGTTAAAACAGATCTTAAAGGACAAAAATTTGAGAAGCAGAAAGTTGTTAAGCACTGACTGTAGCTGTTGGAAACGGTGTCAATGTTATGAGTTAGATATCTTATATAACCAATTCATTTTCAGAACATCTAATATCATCCAAAAACAAAGGAGATAACATTGCAGTCTAAAAACAAGCCCAATGAGTAAAATCTTTCCTCTGTTCTGCACACTAACATCAGTGGCAACAGTATTTCACCTCTGGCCTCAATGTCACAATGAACTTGAGTATGTTGTATTGGCAGGACATGCTGTCCTAAAACCTTACCAAGTGACATTAAGAAAATTATCTTCTGAAATACAGCTCTGACTGCATAGGCAATGTTACGCAACTGCAACTTCAAACAAGTCATGTAATTGCATTTAAATCATGACAGTCAAACAGAAAGCAAGCATGATGGAAGAAAACTCCTTTGTTACCAACAGCATTTAAAAGAGTGAGACAGCTGTGAAAGTTGGGCTTCCCTTAGAGCACTTACAAATATAAAACTTCTCATTAGCTTATTGCACTCCTAATATCAGCACTAAAGTATGCTAAAGGATGCTGCAGCAACTGTCACTTTCAGATGGCTTTGGAAAAAATATCAGAACAACACATTTCTTATTCAATTGCTCTCCTAGCTTTGAAGAAAGAATAAATACAGAATAATTTCTTACCGGCTTGGGGTTAGCCGAGAATCCAGGCTGCCAGACTTCATGGTAATAGTGTCAGTAAAAAGCACGTCCTTTGCTGGAGATGCTAAAGCTTCTGAATGAGACAGTGAAGGATGCATCCTCTGTTGCTGTAAGCGTTTTAGTGTAGCATAACCAAAGGCATCTCGAGAACTTGTGTAGCTGAAATTATAGTCAGCAAGACTTTTTATTGTAGCAAGAGAAGGAGCTTTAAGAGACTGGGCTCTCCGTGGAAGTGTATGAGAAGACCCCGGTGGTACCAGAGACACAGAGTTTGATTTTGAGAGAGGCAGATGGTTAGACTGTGGTGTCGAACAGTGACTAGGTTTAACTGTTTTTGTGCTTACCACAGTACTCAAACTTCCACAGTCAGTGTCTACATTTGTACTGTCCACACCTACAGTCTCCCTTGAAGGACTAGAACTCATTGAACTTATGCCACTTGTTGTTGTATCCGTATTAAAACTTAAACTACGACTCTTGAAATGTGTTTGTGTAGTACCATCCCCTATTAGCCTTTCTCTGCTTGTGTTTTCTCGGTGAATTTCATTTCCAAGACCTTTCGGCAGCTTCAAATCATTTTCTCCAATACTTGGGGTACTATCAGTATCCTCTTTTGTTGGAAGTAAGCACATGGAAGTTTCTGTTGGTAAAGTCTGAATTTTTGGAACTCTGAAAACAGGGTTGAATTCCTCTCCAGAAGGAAAGTCTAAGGAAGGCTCTGTTACGGTACGATTCCGCCTCAGACTTGATTTACTGTCAGATGATGTCAGCTTTCCTCCTTTTGGATCACTGCTACTTCTGTGTTTTTTATTAGGTAGAGTAAGAGAGTTTAGAATGCGATTTTTCACAATTCTGCTTGATGAAAAAAAGGGAAAAGGACTACGGTCTTTCTCCTTTGAAGGCCCAGGTCTGTCGTAAAATATTTGTTCTCCATCTTCTGTAATATCTAGGAAAAATGTACTAGTGGAAGTACTACCAAAACGATCATCCTCCATGATGAACATACCTGAAATCATGAGAGACTTGTCGATGAAAAAGGACAACGTGCATCAAGTAAGTCATGAAAAAACAAGCTCCTGAACAAAGCTAAAATTGTTGGGTACATGGCTTATCGTTATGCTCAACTGAACCTTTTTTTCTTCAGAACTTAGTACGGTGAATTAACTAACTTCAGGAACACGCATGCTAAAATTTTCTTTGTTTTAAAAGAAAAGCCATGCTATCTTACTTCAGTGCATACATCCAGCTACTAAGATTACAAGTGGTACACTCCTTTAATGGCATCTAAATATGGTATATATCTGGATTCAAATTCAAAATATCAGTAACACTATAGACAAAATACAACAATGCTATGTGTGTATCTATTTATTTCTAGATACTCCTTGGAGGAAAAGCAAGTTAATGTACATCTAGAGCATGCGCTTTTCTGTAGGGTACTACATCAAGCTGCCAAGACTTGACTATGAATTACTAGCTTAGCCTAATGTTTAAGTTTCTTACCTCTACATTAAATGTAATTCTGAAGTACTACTTCTTCTCACTTATTTATCTCTCTGAAAGCAGAATCACCTCCATGCTTTCACTCTTCTTCCTTGCTGATATCACTTATAAACTACTTACCTAACATCACCCTTGCAAAAGAGTGAAACAAAGAAATATTTGTTTCGCTTTCTGGTTTGATTTTTTTTTTTTTTACACTTACTGGAAGGTGCAGATTCGCTTTCACTGTTATGCCTAGAACTGGTGGACTCAGAGTTTAAGCTAAGAGTGCTGGGTATAGAAGAAAGTTCATTGCAGAGCTGCTCCATGTCATCAGGAACCACCGGCCAAGGCTGTCTACGACTATGTCTTACTGCATCCCAGTTATGATGCTTCAAAATGTCACATCCTTGTTTAGTTTTGGCTATTAGACCAAGCACGTAGACACAGGTTCTGTATTTAATACACACATAGAGAAAAAAGCAACAATAGCATCAAATTCAACTAAACCTTTTTTACTTTTTTGTAAGGAAACACTTTCAAAACAATTCAGTAGAAACTTCACAAAATAATTATGTAGTTTTTGTTCCCAATTTTCATTTGGAAATAAACAGAAAACTAAAAAATGAAATAAAATATCTGAAATTCATTTAAAAAACATCTACCATCCAAAAATAAAACAACTACAACAAAAAACTCAAAGTAGAACATGAACAAAGCTGCACAATTAGGCAAAAGAACATCCTTTCAATGATATTCTCTTTTAAGAATTTGAAAGATGCTGAATATAAATGATGGAATAGTAAAGTGATTCCAGAGAGGACCTATATACGCTTTAACTGCTTTTTAAAAGAGACAGAAAGTACTTTTTTTTTTTCCCATTTGCCTACTGTTTATACTTTTGAACTTGTATATAATTTTGAGAATTTTCTCAAAATCTGTTATCAATAACCCTTAATAACTGATTTCAAACTGACTTCCAAGTGGCAAAAATACATCTACATGAATGAAGCAAGAGTATCTGAGAACCTTCTGCGCCTGTATTCTAAAAATTTTGTTTAATAATGAAATACACATACCCTCTAACGGAGAGAACCTCACAATGTTGGGCAAGTGCCATTATATCTGGAATTACATTCTCCTCTTGAAGCAAGTTAAGACCCCAGTTTGATGATCCAATGTTACCCTGGAATAAAATGGTTTGTCAAAAAAGTTTTGACTTTGATGTGACCTGCAACACCAGTGAAAAAAAGCCCTCAACACTTTTGTCAGTGGTATGGTTTCTACAAGCATCCTCCCAAAGGTTTTAGAAAATTTAGCAGCTTCTCTCTCCTTTTTGATCTTAGTCAAGCAAATCCAGTAAAGGACAGTAGGATACAACAACTAAAACTGCTAACAGCTAACTAGTACACACTCCTCAGGCTACTAATTCTACTACAGCCAGCAGTAAGATCTTAGTTTACTTATTTTACTTGCCTGTTAAATAAGCATTTTTTATATTATTACACATTTGATCATGACTGTTACAAAAGAAAATTTAAGGAAGACAGGAAAGAGGTAAGCGAACAATTAAGGTGATTAAGCAGCTTTAGAATTATAGCTTGGATAGGCAAAGACACTAGGTTTTATTCAGTGTTATCCCCAGTATCAGAGTTGCTAAGACTATATTCACAAACCTCAGCAATGGCAGCAAGCTTTCCTGTAGAAACATTATATTTTGGAACACAGCAGGTTGAAACATCTGATTCCATATTAACACTGTCACCACATGTTGAAATTTATTCTTTTTTTATATGTAAAAACAGTAATAATAGTCAAAGCAATTACAATAAAGCTTAGACAAAACAGACATAGCAAACAAACTTCATGTGATATTCCAGTTATGATATATTAAAAAAATAAATCAACTGAGAGGGAAGAAGCACAAATTTTTGAGAAGAATTCATAAACAATGGTTTTAAAGGATTTTGTTCAGTTACTTCAGAATCAAAAGTTGTGAAAGAACCCAAACTGCTGTATAAAGGTTGTAAATCTGTTACTAACCAAGGCCCAAAGGGCTGCTTTCAGCTGCTTGATTCCTTCCCACTTATCCAGCATTGGGGAACGAACAGTGTAACTCAGATCTGTAACAATACTCTAAAAGAGAAAGAAAGAAGAAAAAATATTCAGCTGAAAATGGGAAGGACATTTCAGTTGAAGAGGTTATCTTACATACTTTTAAATTAGTGCTTTATGTTTGCTAAAACTGCATCTCACTGTGAACAGCAGTAGCCCTGGCATAATAAACGCAAGTTAAGAGGAATGGCAATGTAGCTAAAAACAATTAATATCACCTCTGAATGAATCAGATTATCTCAGATTTTATAAAGGCAAATTTCTTCCGCTTAACACACTACAACATAGGCACTCCAAAATTTTTCAAATTTCAACACAATTCATCTTTTTTTTTTTCAAAATTCACTTTAAAAATAATTTCAAACAATAACTAAACAGCTTTTTTAGCATTTCTGAGAATTTCAAGTTAGCAGAAAGAACATTTTATTACCTCACCTCCATGCTTTGATACACATGGAAGGATAGGCACAATTTTGCCACTAAAATAGGCACTAAAATATATTACAACTAGCAATTTGCTTCCCATTGTTTTGTTTTTTTTTTACTGGTCATTTTAAGAAAAACACTGTAAGGAAAGAATTTTACATGAATCTGGATGGAAAGGTTGTCTTCACAAAATTATGGCTCCATAACATTTCAGATTTACAACCTACTTATTTTGTAGTCACTATTTAACTGACATCTCTTAAAACATATTCCTTAAAAAAGGGATGCTGTCCACTAAAATCCTTCAAGCTATAAATCATTACAATTCTCACCTGAGACTCCAATAAATGGCAGCCTGTTTTATGGTGCACCAGTTGGCCATAAAGGTGAACTGGCAGGTAGACATGTGGTCGCTGTAATCTGGTGGGAAAAAAAGAAAAAAACAAAACGCTTTCCCAGCAATTTTGAAATTATCTATTACAATAAATTACACTGAAGTGAGTTACGCAATATTTTTTTTTCAGATGAAGATTCTTGTGGACAGTGTTTACCTTTGGTTGCTCCTACGAACATAGTTATCACCATCAACAGGTTTGCGATACGTTGTAAGTGCTTCATTTAGTTGTTCTTCAATCAACTCAACGTACTTTAAGTTGTACTCCTAAAAGAAGGTAATGTTTGACACAATACATTTAGGTGGTTTATTTTTTATCGTACGGTACTTTATAAAGAAGAAACGTCAGTGCTTGTTAATTAAGGCTGAGTTTCTTTATGATCTGAACATGGTGTTCTCCACAATAACCATGCTTCACTCATACGACTTCACAGAAAATCAAGAAGGGATTCCATAACTATTTCAGAAAAATTGTTAAAAGGAAGGAAAGAAACATTTCACATTTGACTTTAACCTGAAAAATCTGAACAGACCACACTACATTTCAGTATACCTAATACTGTTTATAAATTAGTCAAAAAATCGTTTAACAGCTCATATAATTGTGACTATTAACAAAATGATTAACTACTACCTCAAGAAAATAAACGTAAAAATTGTAAAAACAAAATAATACATGAATACTACTTTTAGTCTACCAACAATGTATGAATGTTATTGTAAAAGTAATGCCTCTTGTTTATTTTCATGGAAACTACAACATACACAAAGAACATGTTCTCAGCTACAAAATACTATTTTTCAACATAGCCACCACCATTAGCTAATTCCCATTCTGTGGTGTAACAGCTGTGCAAGGCCATGAGGAAAACAGTTTTTCTTTCACATCCCTGCCAACACTGCAGTAACACACCAGCCACTGCTGTGTGTCTCACTGTGCTAACATCCAGTGTTTGGTCTCCACGAATGTTCCACAAGTGTGAATGAATGTCAATAGGTGCAATTTTTCCCACATGGACAAGTTCAATGACACACCTTTGCTTCCTATGTACTTCCATGTCAGATGCCATTTTGACAGACTGCCTCTCTGCTGCCATGTGTTGCAAAGCAACGAAGCACAACAGGACGCTGCTGGGAAGACTCAACCTACCTCTACTGCCATACCACCACCACCTACCTGCCTCTGACACTGTGGAACAGCATAATAAAATAGGAGGCATTACTTTCAGAGCACACTTCAGAGCACACTTTCATATTTTTTTTATTTTGAATGCATCGTGTGTTCCTATCCACTTCCTAACAGCATAGGCTAACTTCATCTTCATGAGATTTGGACATAACTTTAATTACCTATTATCAGTGTTGACACACATCTTGAAAAGCAGTATTCCTTTCCACATTTCTGTAGGTAAGACTTAAAACAACCTATTTTGGAAAGTCATTACTCTCAGTGTATTAGCTGGAGAAGCAAAACTACATGAAAGCCCTGGCTAAAAGAGTACATATCAACAGAGGAGTTAAACAACTCTAAGACCAAGCTGTCAAGCTTTATCAGCAAATTCTTAAGCCACTGAGGGAATACATGTATTGGCATTAGTAATGCATACGTAAATCTACAATATTTTAAATTACATTTTAGCCCTCTCAGGTGTGTTCTTATACGTTATCTCTTTCTAATTCCAAGTGAACACACATTTTGATTCTTCGTATTACCTTTTGCCATTTTTCCATTTGCTTTGTTACGTAACCTCTTTCATTCAGATATGAAAACCCCTTTGGAATGGACAGAAACCTGCAAAGCAACAGCAGACCATCAATACCAAAATTCAATCACATAATATCAATAAAAACCAAATGCTTATGACTTCCACAGTGTGAATTTCAACAGCATACTCAATACATTTACCTCAGGAGTAGAAGCAAACCCTTGTCTCCAAGGTGAGATAGAGCTGGTTTCATTTGGATAAGGGCATGAAGATTGGCCTAAGATAATTAAAAATGTGCAAGTTATATCAGAGCATTATAACCCTCTAAAAACTACAATTACAATAACCTGCCAGTAATGATGCTGTGAAGTTTTCATACAAGGAAGTATCAAACAGCACTCACTCTTATATCATCCACTTTTGTCATAACATACGTAATTCTTCTAAAAAGACTATAATGATAAAATACATTAAGACTGAGTAAATATTTATAGTAAGCAAAATCTACTTCTTATTGCTATTAACGGTGCAGTTTATAAACCACATGATGAAGAAAAGAGTATTACTAAGACTATCAAGGACAATCAAGAGAGCAAAGCATGAGTAGCTTCCTGAACTTCTCCTCTGTAACTGGAAGGGGGGGGGGTAAACAGCATAGAGTTGCTTACCACAGGGAGATGAAAAAGGGAAAAGATGCTCACCTTGTCTTCACATGCCTCATCTAGAATATCAAGTGCCTCAGAAGAAATAGTTTTATTTTTGTCATGTAGCTGGGTCACCAGTAACTCAATCCCCCAGTTGCTGAAGAACTCTACATTCGCCCTCAGTAATACTCGTAAGTGTTTTGTTGCATACAGCCTGCTGCTCTGCAAAAGCAAGGAAAATAAATGTTTTTTTGAATGGAAGAAAGATAGTCAATGCCTTTAATGATTTATCACTTTTGAAAATACATTTTCAATCACCGTATTTTACATAAAATAACTGTACTGAACACCTTATAGCATTAAAACTATAGTCCATTACAGAACTATATTCAAACAATAAATTTGAGTCTGAGATCATAAGTAACTCGGTCACTGTCAAATCTTACTTAACGTCTCTAGTGTTCTTATACTTCCAAGGCTATGATACCTCTAACCTAGTAAATTTTCTATTTGTTAAAATATAGAGGATCTATACTGGGGAGATATGTGAGTATCTGTACTATCAGAGACAAGTGAATCTGTACTATCAGAGACAAGTGAATTGGTCCAGACTGGACACTAAGTAAGCTGTCTTCTGGAATGATCTGTTCTCTTCCTCCTGAAATACTTGGTAAATGGGATTTCACAAAAAACAAAGTATGAACTGTAAATCTTGTTTCATTATTTCATCTTCAAATACTTGCACATTTTTACTTATTCAATATATATTTATCTTTTTGGTGGAGAGGCTAAGGGCACTCAAGCTGTCCAGTCTGGAGGTGGCCAAGAGGTAACCTCACTGCTCAATCCAGCTCCCTGAGGAAAGGAAATAGGGAGGTGCCAGACTCTCTCCTGGAGACCACTGGCAGGACGGGAATGGCACAGAGCTGTGCCAGGGAAGATTCAGACTGGACATAGCAACAAATTCCAGGGTAACACTGCAACTAGCTTCCTAGAAATGTGGTTGATACGTTATGTCTGCCAGTATTCAAGAAGCATTTGGGTTGGGTAACGCCCTCAGTATAACCTCAGGTTAGCCCCAAAGAGGTCAGGCTGTTGGATTTAGTATTTCCACATCCCTTCTATGTCTAATCTATACATATTCAGTTAAAGCAAGAAAAAGAGCATCTTTAGCTCATGAAATGAGAAATATTTCATTGATAACATCTCAGAGAAATAGAATTTGAAAGAGAAGAAGCATTATTGGAAATTGTCTTTAACCCTTACAAAGAGCTTTTTATAAATTACGCTCAGTTCCATGCCTTGTTAAATCTAATTTAGAAGCAAGAGACAGCACAAAAACAAAATCACAATCTAATGTATGGACTATAAAAGAGAAATCCTTCCACAGGCATTTGTTTATTTGCTACACAGGCTGTACTCATTCTTTCACGTTCTCATCAGAAATCCTTAAATGGGCAAAGTGGGAGAGCATGTAATTGCCTTCTTTGAACTGGATGTTTTTAATTAATTGCCTGTCCAAGATGGTAGATTGCTAGTATAGCTAGAATATATATATTCTCCCTATGGTTCTGAAGAGTGGGAAGTATGAAGTGGAACAAGTTTCGATTTCTCCCTATCATGCTCTCTAAATACAAAAGGAGTGCTCTATCTTGGACAGTGTTTCAGAGTTCTACATAATAAAACCCATAAAATGGCAAATACCTCCCCTAACACCTGATAAAGATTTACTTTCAAATTACTCTTCAGTTAATGGAACAACTCACGCAAGCATGTCACTTCAATATTTTCCTTATTCTTTTGAATCATCTTATTCTCCCAGACCAGACTACTCCTTCCAGTTTCTGGATGAGACTTACAGTCTTGCAATTACAAAAGCTCAAAAATATGGCCTATACCACTAAAATACAGTTAATCCAGCTGATTCAAAATAATTGAAGAAATCAGACAAAATTGCTAGATCCAAATATTAAGAGATGGTATTGACAATATATGTATACCAGTATTGCCAAACAATACTTCAGCAAGTTCACATTTTGCTTTTCAGTCAAGCAGAATTCAGTGAAATTTTCTTCTCAAAACTCCAACAGTTCAGTTACTGCCGTAAGAATGCATGTGCTAGGCACATAGAAAGCAGGAAAAGAGTTTAAGGAAGTTAATTATTGATGTATGAAATTATGTGTGGTTGACAGAATCCATTTCTTCCAGATGAGATAGTCCGTTTTATTTGTGTTTTGCCTCTCTCAGATCAAAAAAAAACAAAGTCCATTTGAATTCTAAGAATTCCAAGTAGACCAGCTAATCAGGAAACAAAATGCCTTTCATTATCCAATGTTCAAGAGATCAATAAAGGAAGTTTCACTATTTAAGGGGTTCAAAAAGTAAATTTTCCTTTTTTTTTTCCTAGTATTATCATAGCATGAAGATTCAAGCTCTAATTTTTTCAATATTTCTTAACTTTATTTTCATCAGGTTTGTTCCCCTTGGTACGCACATTTAAAAAATAATTCTCTTCAGGTATGAGATATCTGTTTGAATGACTTTAAGTACTGAGTGCAAATGCAGTAGAAGGTATAAAGTCCACTGTAAATACAAGAGCTACATGAATATGACTTTCATTTTACTAAACACAAAAGCTCTTCTGAATTTATACAACATCTTAAAAATGTTACAGTCTTGGATAATAAAGAGGCAAATAGAAAAGGTACATCAATTGAATAGCACTTACATCCGTAGCTGCTGTCAGAATTTTAGACAGGATGACTCTTGCTAAGCCATCTCTGCTGTAATCCAAACTAGAAACAGTCAGTTTTAACAAATGATCTTGGTTCTTCAAAGAACAAAGATTAAGAAGACTGGCAGGAGAAAAAGAAAATATCAGTATTTGAACCCAATAATATCCACTTATTCAATTAACAATTTCAACTTAGCCTTCTGAATAAATCTTTATTTCTATAAATAAAGAATTCAAAGCAGGTTCCTATGAAGTGACTTTAAACTATTCAAACTGTTGAAGGGGGGGAAGAATAAAGCACTAAATGGCAAGAGAAAAAAAAAAAAGCTTTTAAAATGGTTCTGTAGTAGTTTTGTCAGCACATCTAAACTAGTGATTATTACAAAAATAAATGCTTATGAAGAACTGTTAACAATCTTCATTCTAAAACACTGTAAAACCGTATGGATTTCGTTATCTTAAAAAGAAACAACCAAGAAGACAAAATAGAAACAAATCCCTTCACCTCCCCACCACCAAGAGAAATATAAAAAGAAAAAAAAAAATCCATCCTATAAACATGTGGTTTCTACTTGATGTAATCACAAGAATTTTGAAGTCTCCAGCTTTATAGATAGCAGCCCTCATACACAGTTTACAAGTTCTGTAATGATTATATTTGTGAACACAATTCAAACAGAACAAGAACACTTACCACTGAAACACGTTACATTTTTCAAGCATTTTGACTCCATGAGGATGACAAGAAAGAGTACCAAAAAACAGAAAATAGTGTTGACTAAGGGTATTTAGTAGCCCATTATTTTGAAGACTTCGTTCAGGTTTCATTCCTGATGAAGAGTTGAGCCAATTAACAATATCCTTAACCAGCTCCTCCAGATAACCTTGTCCATCCTAAAAAAAAACAAAGATTAAAAGCATTTACTAGAAACTGAACTCTTTACTGAAATCTGCCATTTTAAGCTTCTTAAATGTACAAGCATAATACAGACACAAAATAGAAATGTTGACAGGTAAACAATTCACACTAAAAAAAAATGTTCCAAACATTTTAGAATCAACTCTGGTTGTTCTAGGAAAAGGACTGTTCAGTGATACTTTCTCTACTTTTCTGACTCAATGCATAAGCCTTCAATACAGAGGAAAGGACATAAAGAAAGGACAAATACATATAGCAAAAACATAAAAATCAACAAAACTAAACAAAAAATCCCCTAGAATGTAATAATAATAATAATAAAAAAATTAAAGAAAATGCATTTAACAACAAACAAACAACTCAGACTTAGGTATCTCCTCCAAGTCTCATCTGGACAATTCAGGATTTTATGTTGTATTTCTTAAGTATGTTGTTCAACTTTGGTTTAATGCTGAAAAGTTTTCTTAAGTTTTTACTCAAATTTAGGGTTCTTCGTTTTATGCATTCTCCCTTGTAAATGAAAATGTCTTACCTCTTCTGATTCAAGAAGAAATTCAGTAAACTGACAACCCACTACAGTGAGCTGCTTAGCCTTGGCATAGTCCAGATCCAGATTGGCATAAAGTTTACTGCTAGGTTTATAGAAATATAGCAATCTCCTTACAAACCTATGGAAAGTAAGAAATAACGTGTTATTTTTCTGTAAGAAAAGCAATTCCTAACAGTATAAAATGATGCTGCTATAAAAGGTATTTTATCACTTATTGCTTATTGGCAATACATTTTCAGAAGCCATTAAAAGAGAGTAGCAGGTACAGTACTGGGTCTATCCAGATAATTTCAAAGCTGTCACTGTACTCTGTGTTACAAAGGATTTTCTGTCATGACCTAAAAATATGCAAAGGAACTCAAAATCTCTACACTCTTAAAAACTGCAGCTTACTTTTACTTCTTGTTTATGTAATTTAGTCTGCTATAATTTATTTGGTGCCAAGAGCAAAAAAAAAAAAAAAAAAAGTATCTGCAAAGTAAGTATTTGTCCTAATGTTTGTGTGACATGACTTTTCATCAGCTATAATAATTAATGCTACTGTGAAAGATACGTTCTTATGCTCTGTTAGGAAAAGGCTACATTTATTCATTAACAGTATTTTCACTCACCTCACTTAAGCATTTCTGAAGCAAAAACAGTGCTAGCAATCCTGCTAGCAAATAGAGACTCACTGTTCAAAAAAACTTCACCTCTGCATTGCAGAAATAAAACTTCAGCAGAGCTTCCCCCTACCATTTATTAGCACAAAAATAAATGCATGTTTGTGCTTTCAAAGATCAATATTCTATCTCAAGGTAGATAAATCAAACATTAAGGAAGCTTATACAGCACTGCCTTTAGTTAAAAAAGGTGAGAGTAGATAACTATCCCAGTTACCAATTACAAATGAAATCTGAGAATTTCATTTTTTTTTCAAATGAAGGGTAATTTATTACCTATTAGCCACGTATTGTATTAGTGCCTACATTTATACATGAGCCTATTACACAAGAGAGCAAATATATAAAAACACGTATATACACTGCATGAACTGTGCATCTGAAATTTGGCAATCTATATTAAAAAAACTGCAGTTTTCCTTTAATAGTGTTTCTGTCATATTTCCTGGCTAACAGTAAAATAAATATATCAAACGTCTTCAAAAATACAAAATTAAAGGAAAAATCCTCAGCAGTGAAACTAGAGCTGTTTAGCAGTTTAATTACTTTTAATTAAACAAGCAACAGCATTTTACAGCCATTAAAACATGTATCCCACAATCCTGTAGAAGTTTTATACTATCTTAACTCCACATTTTCCAATTTTCTCACTGAACTGCAGCCCAACTGCACTGCAAAACGAGGACACAATAGCACTGTCCCATGCAGGCAGGTAGAGATGTGGGTATCATAGACAGGACTGCAGATACACCTTTAGAGAAGCAATATTAGATAATATTAGATAATAGCAATATTAGCCAACAGACTTGGCAAGTAATCCTTTATCACACAGCACAAACAAGCAACTAGAAACATTTTTCTCTTAGATTTTGATGACAGATGTAATGGTACAACTACACAACCATAGATCTATTTCATCAAAAGTTGTCAACTGTTGCCATGAAACATTACTGTTTTAAATAACAGAGAGGTAATAAAGTTTAAAATTAAATAGGGTTTTGTAAAACTCGAATGATCCTTGTTAAGTGAATAGCTATATGAAGTATGCACAGAAACTACTAAATCCTAAAGTCCTGCCTGTTTAATGCAAATACTGAAACCTAAATATTCACTGTTTTGCTGCTTATGTCCAGATTAAGTTTTAGAAATGTGACATCTCCAAGGAATAGCTTATTGAAATTATCAAAGAACAGTTTTTCCAATTCCTTTCTTCAAAGCAAGTCTATGTAATTTTTACATACCTGTGCAATTGTTCATCTTTATAGTTCCTTAGATTTACATTTGGCCACTAGAAAAATAGGAAATATAGCATTACATGAAACTTGTACATCAGCTGAATATTAATAACTAATATTTACTTATTTCTTTTGCATTCAGCTAATATTTTGAAGTGTAAGATTCCCTGCTAATGTTAATGCTAATCTAATGTTACCAAACCAAAAAAACACCTTATTTTATTGAAAAGGCCATACTTCTTGTCCCAGTAACTATTATATTTTTTCTGGGACAGAAGTGGAAATTGTTGGGTGCATGCTATCTGCAGAAGTCCAAAATTATAATGAAAACAACAAACTATGACATGCTAATGAAAGGTAAATAAAACTGCCTTACTATCTGTTCTGAAAGTAAACAACACATTTCAGTATGCATAACAGTAACTGCTTTTTTAAAAAAATAAATCACTATTAATCTGATTTGTTTTAAAAATTGTCATTCACTTAAATCACCTAGTAATATATTATTTAAATTCACAGAATCATAGAATAACCTGGGTTGAAAGAACCATAATGGTCATCTAGTTTCCAACCCCCTGCTATGTACAGGTTCACCAGCCACTAGACGAGGCTACCCAGAGACAATTTCCTCTGTCTATACATGAAAGATGTTCTAAAAAGGATTGCAAAAAGTACATTTTGCTGGATCTTTCTCTTTTTTTCTCTCCTTTCTTTCTTATCTAAGCAACAGAATTATACATTTCCAATGGGTACATTAGTATTAAGACAGCACAATTAATGATCAATAAAACTGACTATACTAGTAACACTGGATTCACAGCACCAGACTAAGGGTGCAGACCTGTCAACGGCAAAGTCTTAATTCTTCCATACTGACCCCACCAGCACTTCTGTTCTTCTTTTAGCCATCTAAACAGCAAGTTGAGCAAGTAAAAGGCAGAAAGGGACCACATGAGACTGAAGTAGTAAGGTGATAAGAAAGCTGATGCTCCGCAGTCATAAGGTTGTGACTGAGAGTGGAAGGAAGGTGTATAGCCACATGTGATAACAAACTCCAAACACTGCAATCTGGATGCAGTTCATTCAGTCTAAAGATGGACTGCTCTGACAAACTATACAACATGAATGTAAATTAAGATAACACTAGCAGGAATTGAAGTGGTTAGAACTTAACCAGAAAGCACTGTGACTACTCATTGTGAAAGAGAGAAGTCCCTAATTTTGAGGCATTTAAATCTGTTTTACTGGAGACTACAAAATACACTGTAGAGGATATCTGAGATTGTAGGGAAACTGACAGCTCTACCTAGAAGCTTTTCTGCTTTAACAGCTCAGGAAAACAGCAGCTCTTAGTTGTCCTTATAACTAAGCTCCTTAGTTATCCCTATAAAATATCCATTACCAAAATATTACACAGCTTAGCTAAATGTGATATTTTGAAGAACAACTTCTTGATTAACACCCTTAATATTAAGTAAAATAACTGACTAATATAAAGTTAGTTAAATTACGATAAGAATCTGTAAACAAGCAAAATTTAGTGAAGCAAAGCTACTCTGATATATATGTGTATATGTATAAATATGCATAAACATGCATACACAAATATACATATACATATATATCTAAATGTATATATATATATATATGCTTATATAAAAATATATATACACATATACACACACATTTTTAGGTCTTTATAGCAGACAGATTCTTGCTTTCTCAATCAGCCTTTTAATTTAAAAGTTTAATTTAAACTTATAATTTAAAAATATACAAATATTCTGCGTATTTTGTCGTAAGTTTCCCTGCATGTTCATTTTTACTTTGTTTCTGAGTGCAAGCTTGATTATGTCAGTACTTCAACCATTTTATAGCAAGCTAGTTATAACAAAGACTATTGGAAAATATTTCCTGAGAGTAACAAAAGGATGGTTTTGCTACACAGAATGACAGGAGCTCCTTCGTCTCTAAGATGATGTACTGAATACTCAAAGTTTTCTTGCTCACAGGAATTTCAGTGCTCAAAAAAGAGATAGTCCTCAGAAAGAGATGAATGCTCTCCTTATCAAAGATTTCCTGTTATTAAATGTCGTACAAAATGAATTTAATTTTATAAAAAACTGTCTTTATTAGTTAAGTCTACACATTACTAGTAACTTGGCCAAAACATCTGAAGCTTAACCTCTAACCCAGGTATAATATTAACCTTCAGCTCATGCTACGTGAAAGTAAACAAACATACAACCATGCTAAGAAACTGAACAAGGTAATATTTGTATATAGTTCAGACACAAGTGTAAAGTATTGGTAACTTTAAGATCATTATATCTCAAATCTATTTCTATTCAAATAAAGCCAAATAAAATTTAACATGCTTTTACAAAGACATCTGTGGATTTATTAGTAGTGCGCTTTTCCCCTCGTGCAGCTTACAGATTGTTGACAAATTATACTTACTGTGTATTGGTATACTGTACACTATTTTATATGTTATTTATTTATATTGTAAGTATACTGTACACTGTACGTACAGTATATTGGTATTGATTAAATCAATTTCCGAACTTTCTGAAATTAAGACTATCATAAAATCAGCAGTGTTAGAAAAGATCTCCAAGAACATGTTCACCTATCACCAATATTTCCCCACTAAACCATGTCCCTTAATAAAACATCTAAACAGCTAACTATGGCATATAGTATGAAGTTAATAATAAATGATAAAACTCTTATGTGAAATAGAAACAGTCTTTTTTCCAACAGGTGCTTCTAAAAATTGTATTACATCTTTTTATGCTCACCTTCAGTATGGTCCCTATCAGATTCCAGTTCCACTCAAGATTCTCCTTATGGTTGAGAACCTGGCTGTCTCGCAGATTCATGACCAGTGCTTCTTCTGTATCCTGCAACATTGACATGAAAAGTTTTCTCATATCACTGCTGTAGTTGTTACACGATACACTTACTTTTCATGTACACTCATCAGAAGCGCTCTGCTACACAGTAATTTGTACCTGAGAGTAAACTGCAGGGTTGTTCTACTGTGGAAGTAGTAATCTAAGAGCAAGAGACCATAATGTGACCTAAACTGCATTAAAATTATTATACACTCAATCAAGTTCTAGAAAACACATCATGGTATCTACAAGTAGATAAAGAAAATATTGAATGAAACGATCTATAAAAATCATATTAATTACTGAATTTTTTAATCTGAATTTTAATCTGAATTAAAAAGCGAGATGGTAGGATGGGGTGGGATTTAAGTATCTAAAATACAATTTCAAATTAAATTCTGACAGATTAATAATGGTAATACCTTTAAAATAACAACGTCTTTCTGCACACGGTATTGATCCCTTTTTTGATGGGTTGAGATTGCTTTCTGTATAATATGATCTAAATGAAGGCTGTAAGGTTTAGGTCCTCTTTTCTTCATCTCGTGAAATCGTTTTAAGCAGTTTAGTGCAGCACTTGCTCGTCTAGTAAAAAAGATATTGTAATCAGTGTTTGACAACTAAGAGCCAACTAAAGAATTAGTGCTATATACTAAATTCAATTAGCATAGCTCAAGGAAGATTTCACCAACAATTCTGAAGCCAAAGACGCTTGTCTTGATGCAAGTTTTCATACATTCACGTGCTTTAATCTTGCAGTGAAATTACACAGAAAATATTCAGAATTTCTACTGAAGAACGAGACTTGACACCTTTTCTTCTACTCTATAACCAGCGGTGTCCTTCACACTTCACAGAAAAATACAACAGTTCAATTACAAGGGATCTACAGAGATCATCTAGAACACGTGAAGATTAAAGCTGAAAAAGTATATAAAACGTCACAGTAGATCAACACTCTGCAGTTAAGGGATCAGAGTCAAATTGTCTGAAGTAGCATTCCTTGTCAATTCTCTTCCTCCCCTTATGACCCCTAAACTCCTGGGCCTCAGCAGTGTCAGCAGTACGCTGTCTTCTTTATATCTTAACAGTTCAACAGCAGCATGTAAGAAATTTTCTAGTAAAAGACAGGCATATCAATAAATACTGCTAGCAGAAAATACTACTGAGCATATGAAGAAAGTGTAAACATGAGAAGGTAAGCCTATCACTCTTTCCCACGAAGCACAGGAAATATTCTTAATTTCTTACATCTTCAAATAAGCAAATATGCAGATTCTTTCACCTAAATTATACAAACCTAGGCCTGTGTAGACGTTTGCAATTCTTTATGTTCTGAAAAATTGCAGTGTCCACAAAAACTTAGACTGCCTAATGTAACACTACAAAATCTTATTTTTAAAACAGAAACAGGATTTCTTGCTCTTCTGTCGGATCCATAAATGCCAAGAAGTACAAAACCTGAAATTCACAAGTATTTTTCACTCTTCCTTTCCTCCCAGAGTTCTAAGTGAAATACCCTGCAAAATACCCTGCAAACCGAGTTTCAGGCAAAGACACACAACAGCCATTTTTCTATTAGTGGTTTAAACCAGTATATACCAAGAAATAATTTTCACCTCAAATTACATAATTTCTTAAAATATTAATAATAATTATACCTAGCACTTTTCATATATTAATATTCAGTGTTATTCAAGTTAGGTCACTATTCGCAGACTTGTTTGTGTTTTTTTTTAAATCAAATTTAAACTATTTGCAACAAAAGAAAGGCCTGTGTTGTGGCTTAAGCCCAATTAATAGACATGTTTGTCTACAAAACAGTATGTCTTTCTTGATAAACATTTTCACATACCAAAATCTTTTGGTGGCATAAGGGATCTTTAGAAATACAAAGAGAAAATCTGAAACTTTCTGGGAAGCAATCTACAAGTGTCACTTAAAATTCTACAACAGCAGTTTGCAAAGATTCTGTAAATCATCACTGATGATACAACAAAACAAAATGTGAAGATAAATTATCAAAATACTGATCAAACAAGCCAGGATGGCAAAAATAATGACCAAATTAACAGAAGGATTTTCTATAACTTTTTATGTAAAGAAAAAGAAACATTCCCACTCATACTCACTTTAAAAAGTTTTCTAAAAGCAAATACAGGTAAGAAACCTGAGTTTACACACACATTTTAAAGATACTGGATCTATCAAATTCTCCCAGCGTTCCTCAAACAACTTAAATTATGTGAAGCACTTTTCGTTCAATTACAAGAAAGGACATATTTATTTTTGTTTTTAGAGAAACTTGGAATTCTTACAATCTCTTCTCTTTCATGATGTCAAAAGATGCTGCCATATTCATTAGCGTTGGTAAGCAGTGCAGGTGATGACTGTGAGAATGAGGGAGAATCGTGTTTGCCTGAACGAAAAAAAAGAAGTCTGGTTATTGTAACTTATTATAACATTTCTGTCTTTCTCTGATGGATCAGCATTTGAAAAAACCTACTATTTCTCATGAGAGCTTCACACATCCATGAAAATTTTTCACATATTACCAACAATAACTGGGCACAATTTTGAATATTTTATCTAATTAATAAATCTGAATAACAATTAAAACTAAAAACAATTGAAACAATTGCAGGACTCCATCTTGAAATTTTAAATTTTTCTTTTTTTTTTTTTGCATTGGTGGTAGCTGGAAGAGGTAACATGCAAAAACATTCAAAGTATCAGTTATCCTTTTAAGTCACGTGTATGAGAGTACTAAAATATATATAAAATCAGAAATAAAATTTCACCATGTCCATTCAATACTTTTGCACAACAAAAGATACTTCACACACAAAAATTAGCAAAAAATACACACTAAACCTTAACAGAAAGGGCTCTGCTGTGTGTACTCTCCTTGCTGTCAATAAAGGATGTGGAGAAAAACAAAACCACTTGTTTGGCCAGAAATGTAAACCATACCACTTCACATATGACTAACAGTTCCTCAGCAGGCTGCAAAGTAGCACTTGCATGTGCATTTAAAAACATCATGTCTAGGCAAGAACAAACAGATCAAATTTTCTTCAAACACAGAGAGGCAAGAGGCATGAAACAAGATGTCTTCAACTTCTCTGTGCTATTCAGAGGCTATCAACAGCAGTGTGGGAAGACCAATTCAAGCTGGGAGTTGCACAAATAAATATTAACAAGTGCTCCAGTTGAATGTGCAAGTTTCATCTGCGAAGCAGAAAGCTAAGCATGCTGTCACTAGTACCGTTACAGAAAAGCGAAAACAAGTAGCAGTTTTATTCCCAAACAAAGTAACAGATAAGTGAATTTGCACACATCTATCTTAAAAATACAATGCTTTACTGAGGCAAGGTGGAGAAATAGTGAGAGCTGGAGATGAACAGCCTATTCGTGCTGTTTTTAATGTATGAAGTGTTACAAAATAAAAAAATAGCCTATTGCTTAGATGGAAAGTGGATGTTCCAAGTTCCAAATAAATTCCAATCTTTACTAACAAAATAACTATTTTCAATGAGTTACTAATAATACTCTCAGAAGGAAACTTTACTTACCATATGCAGAAGTTCTCCCAAAAGGATTGTTGCTCTAACAGACACGTGGTCATCACTACTGGTGATCACCTCTACAAGACCCTGGAAAAAAAGTTAAAAAATAATTACAATGTTTAATATATGATGTATATATCGTATCTCATTTCAATGTTTTTAAGAGATAAGCAGTAAGCATCTGTCTCAATCTAATATCACCAGTTACCTCTAGAAGTCCATTGGTAATAAAAGCTGAAAGCACTAAAGCCAAATAATTATCCATGAGATCAGGCCTAAGGAGAAAAACATAGGGAAAGAGTTTAGAAAAAACATTTTTTTTTACAAATTATTTCTGCAAGAGAAAAGCAATTCTTTTGTACACCATAAACCAAAGGCTTAGTCTGAGTTTATTAAATACCCACCGTGACCTGGCTCTGTGGGGTAATATAGTTTTAGCTTCAGCAGCTACAAAGCCATCAGACAGTCTCCAGCAGTCCTGAAATCTGCTTGGATCTACAAGAAAACAAACAAAGCCAGTGCTAATTATAGCTCTGTATTTCAGTGTTATTTTAATAGTAGTTTTTATGAGCAGGTGTACCCTCAGGGTTGAAACTACAGTAAACTTTTGTTCAAAAAGGATTTTCAGCAACTCATTCAATCCACACTACTACACAAAGTGAGGCCAACTTCAAAGCTAGGACAAATATTTCATTTAGATATCAAAATAATAATCTTTCCTATTCAAAAACACATGAAATTTATCCAACTGAAAACAGTGTAACATTTTTAAATGTACATGCATATCTAGCAAAGTCACAAGTGTGCATCAAATAATGATTTATTAATAGTGAAGTTCAGAACAAGGATTAAGCTTCTATAATCAAGCCCTTGACAGGCATCCGTAACTAGAATTTGGAGGACGATGGAACATGAAAGACTCAAAATTACTCTCTTCAGGCTGACATTTTTGTGAGAAAGAAGTAGAGGACATTTTTAAAGCTTGCAAATAAACAATTCTAAACTTAAAAGAGTAATTTTTCTTAATGTAGACATGAAAACATACAATTACCCTAGGAAAAGTAAGTTTCCTGAAGTGCACTGAGGAAAATTAGCATATTTTCAATATACAGAGATACTTTTGAGTAACTTTTCTGTGTCAGCCAACACTTCTACATGCCAATGCTTCAAACGCTTTGAAGACTAATAATGTGTATTGTACAGTCTTTTGTGTAAATGCTCAATTATGCTTCATTACTGATTTTCTATCCAACTTCGACACATTAAGTACGTCAGAAAAAAAGTGGACTTGTAGCTTGAAAACTGTTAATTTGTTGAAAAAGGATTTTAAACAGGACTTCAGAATACCTCATGAATTCACTGATGAAAAAGTTAATACTGATATAATTTGTAATCCAGGGGAAAGATAATGGGTTCATCAAATTTGTAGAAGGATTTGACAGAATTCTTGTGTGAACAAAATACTTACCTACGCTAAGAAGTGCCTCAATAAATTCTTCTGCAACAACAGGGAGAGGAAGACGAAAAATGTCATAGAGAACCTCAAGCAGTCCTCGCTGCAAAAAAAAACAAAAAAACAAAAACAAACAAAGAAAAAAAGCACAACAATTTGATACATTTAGAAAATACAGCCTTTCTGCTCACAATTAAATTAGCACTGAAGTTGATTTTTACAGTGTGCTAAAACTGGCAACTGATTTGGAGTTGTTTTTTGGATTATAAGCATGTTTTCTAAAGGAACCTGGAGAAAAAAGGAAGTTCTGCTCACTTTACAATGGTGCCTTATTGTCACTGCAATCTAGAGAAACATAAGCTCCTCAGATTATACATACATTTTTTACAAAATATTTTACTCTTTATTTTTTATTTTTTACTTATTGTCAAAGCAAAAACTGATTAACTTGCACACCACTGATATAATGTGAATTCATGGAAATGATGGACATTCTCTTAATGCCTGCTCTGTCTGTAGTAATTAAATATCAAATGAAAAAAAAAATCATTAAATAGTAATGTAGTAATTAAACATCATAAAATATGAATGAGAACTAAACTTAAAACCAAGAACAGCTGTTGAAAGTATATTTTTCTTGACAGCACCAATTTCACAGTATTTTAGCATATTTCTAAAATTTGTTTTAATACAGAGTAATTTCAAGATATATATAAAATAAGAAAAGAGACTAAGACTAAAAGCAAATAAACTGAAAGAAAGTAAGATTATAGATTATAAGAGTAAATCAGTTCCAATGCCAAAAATATTCCTGCGTATACAAATATTTTGTTTACTGCCTGCCTGCTCAGGTCTAACACTTTTTTCCCTTTTCCCTCCTCCATTCCCTCCTGTCAGACAGAGTGAGCTTTGATTCACACTCCACTGACACAGAAAGAGCAAGCAGCTTGACTACATGGAAAAATCACACAGGAAATTTAAGGGTCAAATAAATTCAAGACTAGTGGTTTCATATTTAGATTCTCTGTTAGACCACTAAATTGTTTTAAAAAATTGTAAGCATATTAACTAAAACATCAAATATATTCCTATTCCAGTAGGAAATATTTAACACTTACCCGTATTTCCATATTTGGTATACAAAGTACCCCAATGAGAGACTGAATCCCAGAATTTCCAGGTTTGCACAGACTAATAATACCTACAAAAAATTAATACACAATGTTTTCTCACCAAAAAAAAGAGATATTAGACAACATTAAGTGATTTCTAGCTTGAGCAAAAGTACAGATGACAAAAGTTACTAATCACTAGCATTATGTCATCTTTCATTTTCAATCAATGTTTAACAAAATCTAGTAATTTCAACACTAAGAGATATAGTTTCTTTTGTCCTTTTTAATGTTAACAGTATTTTTAAGTTATCTCCACAAAAACAATATTCACAAAGAAACTGCATACAGACAAAATCATAAACAAAGGATCAGTCTTAGGCCAGAAGATGTACAAAGAACTATTAGTGGATTCTGCAACAAAAATTGTGTCTTAACCCAACCAGTAATTAGCTTCCTTTTAATCTCAGATGTATTCTGAACAGCAAGTTTAAATATTTAGAATAACATTCTCTATGCATCACTTTTAGTCATCTTATCTCAAATAAGCAGGACTCACCTTTCCAAAACAACTTATTTTATTTCACATAAAATCTGACAGCCTTTCTCATACTTGGTCCTTCTACACAGTATTTTCACACAAGTTTCATTTCTTAGCATTAAAAGGATGAATACTTAAACTGTTTTTAAATGTTATTGAATACCACCTGAAGTTAACCACTACTCTGATTTTCAGCCTCAGTTTATACTTACATGTCTTCATTCAAGATGTGGCTCCTGAGACAGCAACCTTTCTCATTTCCTTACTGTTTTTCTTCACGTTACAAAAGAAAAAACCTTACAATAACACTATTCTAAAACCAAAGAAGTTTATCCAAGAAATAACTTCACATGAATAAAAAAGGAGCCAGTTCTTGGAACACACAAATAAATCTTAATTCAGAAGGAAGTACTAAAAAATGAAATTAGGTAACTACTTAAATTGTTTCAGTAAAAACAATTAGTTAACTTTTATGATGTACTTTATGTGGAATGATATCCTCAAGTTCATAACTTCCATGTCACAAATACTTATGTCTAGCTCTGTACCCACAGAGATCATTTTTTTTCCCAAGAGTAGTTGACAGCCACCTTTCTACTGCAATGCAGGAATAGATTTCAGTGCACAAAGTCACTGCTGCATGTCCCAGTTTCAATTGTAGATGAAGACTGCAGTGGAGGATAAAGTACGTAGTAATAAACTCTACAGAATAACTCAGTCCAAAGAGTTAGGAAAGCAGAACAAAAAAGCACAGACAGAATAGACAGTTAAAATAAGAAGAATAAAGCTGAAAAGCCAGAACAGAAACCAAACCAAATAGATGTTCAGTCTTTTTTGCTTTGGGAAGGATGACATTATGAGGACACTTTCGTACTACAAGCATTAATGCCCTCTTAGCCTCCAACAAAATAAGAGAACATGCATCTGAAAAAGTACCACAGCAAACAATACATTACAAAACAATTCTCACCTGAACTTTTCAAGAAAATTGTGGTATTAGTTCTAACTGTATGAATGAGAGAAAATGTAGCAACATTCCTAGCATAAATTGCTTTGTAGAATCTTCAGAGTTATCATAAGCTCTCCAAACTTGCACCTCAGCATCAAGAAAACATGAGATATTTTTTGAAAGGATATCTCAATGTTAAGATCTCTGATCAGTTTTTCAGAACATCTAGTTCTGAAAGCACAAGTAATTTAAATAGTCTTACAATCAAAACAATTTTTATACAGTCTAAATCATTCTTAAGTACAGCATGTGCAAAGCCTATCCAAAATTTCTGTAAGGGTCATATGACTTGATTTAGTTCATTTGTAAGACTCTGACTTCGGTAAAAGAATGAGGCCTTATTACCACGTTAAGTATCGTAAGATAGTAGAGAAAGCAGAGAAAGGATTTGAAAAAAATACAAAAAACTTCCCTGGGTTCAGAAATGTCTTCTACACAAGAGGACCAAAACTACGTCCAGATTGGGATTTATCTTCAACTACACAACTTAGTAAAAGCAGATGCTAATCAATCTACTCTGTTGAAAACTTTTGCAGAGATAAAGATTTCTTATTACACTGACAGTATAATTTCAAAGGCAAATTCTTACGACACAATGCTACTCAATACACAATATTCTTTCACCCACCAAATACCAAGTATCACCATTAAGGCACAACTAATACAGTATTCTGAACTGAAAATAAGGCTGCATCCTATCTACAGGGTTTAGTCTAAAGAAACTGTTTAGGAGTCCTCAAATTTGACAATATCAAAACATTACAGGAAGGAAGTGACAAAAAAACCAAGACTGTCAGATTGTGTGACTAAATAAACCATTACATTGCACTGAAAAGTTCTTGTCAGTCAACAAATAAAATAAATTAGAAATCTTACCTGCCCATGATCGAAATGCTGCCACAATTCCCATTTTACTAGCTAGGAACCGTGCTTCTCTGTCCTCTCTGTCATAAAACAAATATGACAAGACACAGTTAATTACTGTAAAACAAACTGTGTTACTTACACAGCAGGTAGTTAACTGCAACTCTGGACAGGGTACAAAAATCAAGAGTAAGAAAATTTTCACATATGTACATTTGCATTTTTGTGTGTGCATATACATTTCATTGAATATGTACACATATACAAAGATTACCATTTTTTATCATTGTGTCTTTCTTCTTCAGTGGAGTTTTGTATTAGAAAGATTACAAACTAAACACCTATTTTTGGTGTGTTATTCACTTCGAAGTCTCCACTGATATTAAGACTGTAGCAGGGGCCTAAGGACTTGGACACTGTCCCAGTCTGATAATCTACTGACATTTAATAATTAAAAAAAACAAACACAGAACATTGAATATGTGAGGTTGAATGTGACTTCTGTGACCTATTCTAATTTTCTACAAAAAGAAGCTGCTGACTATGAGAGCAAACCAGGTAATAATAATCAGGGCTTTATCCTGTCAGGTCTCAGAAATTTTCAAGGATGAAGGCTGTACCATTTATCTGGAACAGTCTGTTTCAACACTTGAGTAACCTCCCAGAAATCTGCTTCTCAAGTTGGAACTTCTTTTTTCAGTTTCTCTCTGCTGTTTCATGTCTTCACAATGCACCACTGACTATCTCTTCTTGATAGCCTTTGCACAGGTTCTTCCCTAAGCTTTCCCTCACACAATGTGCTCCTGCTCCTTGACTATCCTAAACTAAGAGGTCCAAAACCAGAACCAGTGGTTTACATGAATTTTTGCAAGTGCAAATTGAAAGGAAAAATGACATCCCCCAACTTGCTAGTTATGAACTTTTAAAACTAGGCCAATACACTGTCGATCTTGTCAATGCCCCAAGGCATTCTATCTACTAGAACAGTTTCCCACCTAGTCAGGCTCGCAGTCGACCTCATAATATGTCCTTCCAGACACAGGACTCTGCATCTGCCCTTGCTGAATTTCATCATGTTCTTTTGGCTCACTCTTCCTACTTGAAATCCCTCTGGATGCCAGCACTGTCTTTTTATTCTATCAGCTCCACAGTCTGCTATCATGTGTAAACTTCCTGAGAGCGTACCTCTTCCTTACCTTCAGGGAACTGATGAAGATGCTAAACAGCATAGGTCTCACGCTAAACCCTTGCGGTACCACTCTTATTACACGACCATAGGCACAATACAATGGCTTAATTACTGTCCCCCAAGCCTGACCGTACAACCACCAAACAGAATTTAACTCAAATATACTAACACTGCAAATATTTAAGACAAAAAGAAATCTATACTAGAAGACACACAGATTGTAATAATACCAGGTAAAAGAAATATTATGGGAGAAGAATAATTTTATCTCTAATTCTTAATTCCTAACAATGTTCTATAAACTTGGCTACTTGGCAACGTCCTATAAATGGCTACTCTAACTAGCCATTGCCTTCAATTTCAAACAGTTCAGTGTTAGTCCCCTGGTTTGTTTTGTCACTTAGGAGAAAAAATATTTTAGTTGCAATTCCATGTACACAAGTCGAAGCGCTAACACTTACTTGAGCTGTCCTTCTGCCGTGTCTGGGTTATGCCTGTAGTGAAAATCTGTGTAAGGAGCTAAAATTCGCTAAACAAAAGAAAGACATGCATTACTTTCACGTAACAAAACAATTAATGGATTTTGCCCTTTCATCAGTCCCACTATAACTTGTCATATTACTCTTTCTTTACAAATCATGCTCTTTGTTTAAAGGTTAATTGCTTTGACATTTTGCATTAACACCAAGTGTGAAATCTCAACTGAAAATTAAACATCTTCATTACCAATATATTGTTTAATTTCTGTCATTAAGTAAGTAAAAATGAACTCACCTCTAACTCTACATCTGCTCGCACATACTGACGGGTCTTTGGATGATTAATGAGGTGCAAAACAGTAGTTATCAAAGCTTCATTTATTCGACTCAGCTGACAATCAATCACATTTTTCAGGATGGTACTTAAGCCACCCCGAAGAGCCACCACCTCGGGATTCTGAAGTGCTAAACGAAAAACAGGTCACTTCAATAGGTGATAGAAAACATCTCAAGATTTTCAGCATGACAAACGTGTCTGTTTAGAACATATATATCCTTTCCTTCCTGAATGCTGCTGAGATACACATAAGGTTTATAATGGAACTGACAGACTGCAGCAATGAACTGAGATTTTTAATTAATTTTATCAACTAAAACTCTGGTCAATCAATCACCATTGTGTAGCAATTTTCCACTGTATTTCTAACCAAGTTTCCATATTTCTAACCAAGTTTCTATACAGTAAGGCTCAAGTTTCCCTCCAAAAAAATATCAGTCCAGAATTACATAGCTTGGATACTTTTAACTTAAAAAATTAGCAAATTACTTATTTCTTTAAACCAGAAAACTGTGTCTTGAAAACACTGAAGTTATTTTTCACTAATACTAAGTAATATTATATAAATACTATATAAATACTCTGAAACTCACATATGAAGATCTCACAATTTCCAATCCATTAATCCTAGAAATTATCAACTGTTTCAAGAAAATATTTAACAGAAAAATGCCAATTATTAAAGTACAGTACCTAAAGCACTGTACCCAAAATCTTTGATGTTTAAGAGATTTTCAGTTTAAAGCCCTTATTTTTTAATTCTAATATCAAGCTAAACCTACAAAATAGACATTAAGAAGATTTAAACTCTGATTCATTAATTAATAAAAAAATTCACTTTATTATTTGAATAAAAGCTATTTACTATGAACACACAAGAGAATCCCTTCAAAAACTGATGACAACAATTTCAGTTTTCTTAGTTAGCTTCAATTATCTTACCTAGTTCACAGATAATGGCAATACATGCTCGAACCATTCTGTCTCTTTCTTGAAGACCATCATTTCCAACTGCTATCAAAGAATTAGTAATAGAGCTGGGGAACAATGAAGCATTCACAGTGATCATCTGTTAAAAATAAAAGAAAAATATGATCTGGTTTTGTTACAGTATTTTTCAAAACATATTTGGATTCAGCAGCATTGTTTCTTAGATAAAACTGTACTAATAATTCCACATATAACTTGGCTACATCCTGCAAATCCTGTAACTTCTTATGGTATTCCGAAGAATTTTTGAGAATTTACTTTACCATTCTCTTCCTGCTTTTTTTTTATTATTTCATCATAATAGAGATACCTACTGACAAAGAGAAGATTAGAAACTCTTCTATAAGATTAATCCATACCACAACATTCATATTCAACTGTTAAATTTGCCAAGACCAAAATTATGTTTTCTAGGGACCTGCAGCTGCACACAAAGGAACAGAGAACTGTAGACAAGAAAAAAATAACAGTCAACAAAAGATGTTGCTACACTACTTGGAAGGCAACTGCTAGATACATCCCTGAACCCTCACGTATAGTACCTGATAGAAGTAACAGCCAATGTACCTTTATCATAAGCTGCATAGATACATCACAAAAAATACAGATTTTAAACATTTCATATTGAAAAGCACAGACGAAACCAGATCTGCTTTCGTATGTCAACAGTCACTAAATTAAGATATAAAAAACACTTGCAATACATTTAAGACAAAATTTTTGCCCTAATAGCAAATGGTCCTTCGTGCTACTTAAGAGCTCCTGTACCAAAACTTTCAGCTGCTAGTTTAAGACAAGCAGAATTTAAACCACTTTTAAGGAGAAAGGCTGCATGCACACATTAAAGACAAAAACAATCAAACTAAACAAATGACTTCCCATCCCAAGGCTTTAACTGAGGCTGAAAAAACTATATAGTTACATATTTTCAGTTTGCTAAAATTAAATACACATATCCTATGTACTATGGAACAGGAGCATTACTGAAGATAAGCAGACATATTACTAAGGAGAAATAGGTTTTTGTTGTTGTCTGACTGCTTTAAAAGGGAACAACATATTTTCTTAAAGTCCACCCAATCATATCATATTTTCTACTAATGAAAAATATGCAATGTGAAAAAATGCTCAACAGCCACCAAATATCTACAAAAATTTTCAAGCCAACTTGTGAAGATTTTCTCTCACATTCTTTTCTTTCCAAAAATAAAAAAGATTTTAAAAAATTGGGTCTTTTCCAAAATTGTTTTGTCCTAAGTTCATTCTTACAGTTCTGTGAGATGTCTAAGATATTTGTTTGCCAAAGGGGATTGTTTTTCTTTATTTGCAATGCTAAAGTGAGAAGAAATACATTTTAACACTATAACAAGTTTATTTTTAAGACACATTTGAGAAACTTCTTGTCATACATAACATTATTACCCACAAAACAGGAAGCCTTAAGATAACACTCTAAAGAAAATACAAACTCTTCCCCACCCACATAGCCTTTCATTTTTATAACAGCATAAAATAATAATTAGCAATAGAATGGGTACATAATATCTACTAAATGCTAACACACTTTCTGAAGCAACTTATTTTTACCCTTATAGACACTGTTAAGTTACAAAGCTCTCAGCACAAAACATCCTCATAGAGCATAACTGAAATACACTATTAACATGCCAACTCTTCAAAAAAGCAACAAAAAATCTCCAAAGTTTACAAAGTTCGAAGTTGTTATTTTTTATTTTACTACTTAACCTGCAAACTTTCTAAAACAAATTTATCAAGAAATGCTTTTTATAGATATCAAAAACACTTTCTATTTTATTCTTCTCTTTTATGAAAAGGATAAGTGAAAGGATGCATTGAAGTTTTATCTGATACTACTCTTAACACAGGAATTTTGATATCAAAAATAAGGTAAATAATTGTGTTCAGTTTTATCTCCATCAGTGAAAAACCAGCAGGAATTTTCTAGCCTGCTCAAGATTCTCAGTCAAAAAGATTAACATCAAAGTCAGTCTTTTTCCTCATAAGAGTGTACAAAGAAAAACTGCTTATAGAGAAATCCTGGAGTCAGCATAGCCAACTGACAGATGCAGGAAGACTATTTGCAGTTAAATTTTTACCTTTCGGACTAAGCGAAGTGCTTGTGTTCTTTCTACTTCATTACTCTGCTGTATGTCAATGCACCTAAAATATCAAAAAACAAAAGCATGCTTAACTGTGGGTTTTTTTTATAGCACTAACTTTCACCTTAACAGTTATCATATTGTGTGAGTATTCACGCAACTAAATAAACAGAAGAAAGCTTATTATGAATAACTGTTTAAAAACAATCCCTTTAAGCAAGCATACTCATAGTTTGCAGATTACGTTCAGTTTATGTAATTTTCAGTTGTTTTCATTGTAAGTAAATCACTAGAATACTTTCAAATGACAAGGCATAACAACTTCAGGAACAATTTAGCGCTAGCTGCATCTGTCTTTTCAAATGAGACTAAAGAAGAGCATTTGCACTGTTTTAAATCAACATGTTCTGAGTGCTTTCAGATCAGAAAAGTGCCTTTGACCATCAGAATTTAACAGCACACTAAAACCGAGCATGTGTGTGCGCATCAATCCAGAAACACGCACACATTCGTATCATCATAACAAACTTGGAAATTTTAATGAAGGAAGCAATAGAAGTAACAGTAAATTCATCTAGTCACCATGCTGGCCTTATCATCTCATTGTTAGTTTGCTCTTTAGTATCACTGTGGTGTCATAGGTTTTACTTCCATTACAAATTCTCAGGTTTGAACTACTTTTTTTGTTCTGACTTTGTACTGGGCCTCTAAAGCACTATGGAAATGATAATACAAAGAACTGGAATAAATCTGACAAGGCCAATAGCTAAGCTGAAGTACATCTATACCAATGCACAAAACATGGGAAAAAAACAGGAGGAGTTAGAAACTGTGGCACAATTGGGAAAGTATGACCTAATTGCTATCACAGAAACATGGGGGGATGAATCCCATGATTGGAATACCTTGATTGAGGACTATAGGCTTTTCAGAAGGGATATACGGAGTAGGAGGGGGGTAGAGTTGCCCTCTGTGTTAGCAAGTGGACAGATTGCAAAGAGCTGTGCCTGAGAAATAGGCACGATAAGGCTGAGAGCTTGTGGATTAAACTCAAGGATTGGCCCAGTAAAGGGCATCTAGTGGCTGAGGTCTGCTACAGGCCACCTCATCAGAGGGAGCCTGTGGATGAGGTCTTCTTGCCTCAGCTGCAGGAGGTGCTGTGCTCACAGGCTCTTGTCCTGATGGGGGATTTCAACCACTCAGATATCTACTAGGATAACTGGCAAACAATTCAAGAGATTCCTCGAGTCTGTTGAGGGTAATTTCATAGTCCAGGTATTAGATGGACCAACCCAAGGTGAATCCTTACTGGACCTGGTACTCACTAATGCAGAGGAGGGCATTAAAAAGGTTAAGACTGGAGACAGCCTGGGCTGCAGTGACCATGCCCTGTTGGATTTTGTGATCTGGAAGAATGCGGGCCTAGTAAAAAGCAGAGCTAGGACCCTGTGCTTCAGGAGAGCAAAATTCTGGCTGTACAAGGAACTGCTGAGTGGGATCCCCTGGGAAACTGTCTATAAGGGCATGGGTACAGAGAACAGAGCTCGCATCTCTTTAGGGACATCCTTCCAAGAGCTCAATGGCTCTCCATCCCCCAGAAGAAGTACCCAAGCAGAGGAGGCGGGCAACAGACATGGCTCTGCAAAGACCTGAAGCTTAAACTGAGGGAAAAGAGGGAAATATTGAGGAAGTGGAAACAGGGTTGTGTAGCCTGGGAAGAATACAGGACTGCTGTCTGCATGTGTAGAGATACGACTAAGAAAGTTAAGGCACAGTTGGACCTGAAGTTGGCAAGGATGTGAAAGATCAGTGGACGGGGGAAGGGCAACAGATGTCATCTACCTGGACTTCTGCAAAACGTTTGGAATGGTCCCTCATCACATCCTTCTCTCTAAAGATGGAGAGGAAGGGATTTGAAGGATGGACTGTTTGATGGATTAGGAATTGTTTGGCCGGACACTGAACTGTTGTAATCAATAGATATGTGTCAGGATGGAAGCCAGTCACAAGTGGTGTCCCTCATGGGTCTGTTTTGGGACTGGTGCTCTTCAACATCTTCATCAGTGACATAGATGATGGCATCAAGTGCACCCTGAGCAACTTTGCAGATAACACCAAGCTGAGCAGTGCAGTTGATACACTGGAAGGAAGGGAGGCCATTCAGAGGGACCTGGACAGGCTGGAGAAGTTGGCCCATGAAAACCTAATGAGGTTCAACAAGGTCAAGTGCAGACTGCTGCACTTGGGTTGGGGCAATCCCAGGTATTTATGTAAACTGGGGGAAGATCTCCTTGAGAGCAGCCCTGTGGAAAAGGACTTGGGGGTCCTGGCGGATGAGAAGCTGGACGTCAGTCAGCAGTGTTTGCTTGCAGCCCAGAAGGCTGACTGTGTTCTGGGCTGCATTAAAAGAGGGGCGGCCAGGAGGGAGAGGCAGATGATTGTCCCCGCCCTACTCAGCTCTTCTGAGGCCCCATCTGCAGTACTGCGTCCATGTCTGGGCCCCCAGAACAAGAAAGACACAGAGCTCTTGGAGCAGAGGAGGGCCACTAAAATGATCAGAGGGCTGGAGAACCTCTCCTATGAGGAAATGTTGAAGGAATTGGGCTTATTTAGCTTGGACAAGAGTAGGCTCTGGGGAGACCTCATTGTGGCTTTCCAGTTCTTGAAAGAGATACAAACTGGAGAGGGAACAGCTGTTTGCATACGTTGATACTGATAAGACAAGGTGGAATGGTTTAAAACTGAGACAGGGGAGGTTTAGGTTAGACATTACGAGGAAGTTTTTCACTCAGACGGTGGCGATGCTCTGGAACAGGTTGCCCAAGGAGGTTGTGGATGCCCCATTCCTGGAGGCATTCAAGGCCAGGCTGAATGTGGCTCTGCACAGCCTGGTCTAGAGACTGGCAACCCTGCACGTAGCAGAGGGGTTGAAAGTAGACAACCTTTGGGTCCTTTTCAACCCAGGCCATTCTATCATTCTATGCAAAACAACTGAAGACATGAAAATTACAAAGGTTTCAACCTACTAATAATATCACGTTTATTTCTGATTAATAGCATTTGTGATTCAATCACATCTTTATTAATTTTTTACATTATTCATGTGTATCAAATATTAGAACAGCGCTGCCTTTGCATTAGAAGCTATGACCACTGTCCTCCTTTTAAGAGTTGGACATTATCCACCCTGAATTAAATAGACTTGTAATACTACATATAAAAAATGTAAGAAGATATTAAACCTATTCTCACCTGTCTCAACCATGAAAAACATGTAATATAAAATTTCAAAAAATTTCTATTTACAACAAGAAGGGAAAATTACCGGGCAATCAGGTAATCCACTTTCAACTTCAGCACCTTCTGGAGAATACTAGAGTCTCGAATGAGATAGCGAAGGGCTCGCAATCCTGCTGCTCGCACCTCTTTTGCTTCATTTAGTAAAGCTAACCGCAAGCTACAACAAAGGAAACAAAGAGAGCAAACATACAGTATATGTTATATAGTAGTTGGTATAGTTATATAGTTGTATAATAATTATATAGTTACATAGTAGTTGGTAGATTTTACCACCTGACATGTAGGTACTATCTACTCCTTTAAAATAAAATGTGATTTTTAAAGAGAAATACCCTCAATTAGTTTTCCATCTTTGAAATATTGTAAAATCTGGAAGTCGAACCATTATCTTGCCAGAAGATTAAGACAATTAATATATTGATACTAACATTGATATATTAATCTGAACAATGATTTACTTTTAAAATCAGTCTGTGCACCTCTGAAGTAACATATCACTATGATCTGTATATGACACGTTATTTATCAAAGCAGATGAATACAAGAATAATCCTGAAAAAGTGTTCTAGATCAGTTAAAATTTCCAGAAAGATACACAGGTAGGCAGGATTTTCTCCTCTCTACAATGTTAACTCCTAAACATGGATCCTCAAAACAACATCTTGACACTGAACTGAGACAAATTTGTGTCTTAACTAATTAATAAGCATTTCTCTCTGAAGATACAAAATGCTTGTGTGAAATAAGAAATTAAATGAAAAATACATATTACATAGCATAGATTTGTAAGCATTTCAACATTTCTTTTTCTAAAATGGTCCTGCACAATAATCAACTATTTTGAGGCCAAGATCGTCTGGATCTTTCTGGAGATCAATTAGTCAGTCCATGTAGAAGTCATTTTAACAGTAATCTACTCAATGAAATATGTATAGAAAGGCTGACACACCACATGGAAATAAAGACAAACTGATTATTACTTTCTATATCCAGCAGGGAATTATTTCAGGAAGACCATAATTACTGTAAAATCAAATATGATTTTTCACATAGAAGTTGAGCGCTACTAATTGTCTTTGCTTACTTTAAGCTCATTTAGTAGAAAATAAGAAACAGATTTTAAATATTATGATGTTAGGAAAGATCCTTCCTATACAAAAGCAGAACTAGGAGATATTTCCAGAGTCACTCAGGCAAAGCAGACAAAAAGAAGAATAAGCAAGTCTTCAGCTGTCTTAAGAGATAATACGTATTTTTTAGGTCACGAGTCATCCTTGGTTTCTAGTATTGCAGATTTATAGAGATGTAAATCAGAGAGAAGCTCATACAACTCACTTATTCTAAATGATACTTTTCTATTTGGACTTTTACTTTGCTATTTAGAATTGGTTTGGATTTTTCAGTTTAGGACATTCCAGAGCTTACTTCTAATACAGAAAGTATGCATTTCTCAAGAAAACAACGTTGTTGCCACCCACGATGTTTCTTAAGACAGCCAAATACTGTTTAAGGATTTTTATCCCAAGAAAAGTACATTTACTTTTATATTTGAGCGGAAAACATTCCTTGAACAAAACAAAACAATCTTTCTCTAAAGTTTTTTAAAGCAATAATGCTTTGACAGCTTGTTCCACAACTCACAAGAGAAGACAACGTTAATTTGTAGACAAGAATTAGTTGATACCAATAGTGAAATCACTGTGAAGGACAACACTATGAAGTTACCTAAAAGCAGAAGAAGCATATTGTTATTTAAAAAGTGACAATGCATGGAAAATGCAGACTGCCTGAAAGAAATGCAAAATGAGGTGATCTGAGAGAGCCAGCACAGCTTCATTAAGGGTAGATCATGCCTGACCAATCAATTTGGTGACCTATGACAATGACTGCATTAGGGGACAAAGGAAGATATGGTCCTTTGTATACGGTCCAACATCACATCCTCATTACTAAGATAGAGAGACATGGATTTAAAGAGTGGTCTATTAAGAGAATAAGAATTGCTTGGATGGTCACAGTCAGAGGGTTGTCATCACTGGCTCTACGTCCAGGTGGATGCCAACTACAAGAGGTCTTCTCTAGGGGTCTGTCTTGGGACTAGCACACTTTAACATCTTGATGAAGAACATACACGGGGGAAATCAAGTGCAATCTCGGCAAATTTACAAATGACAACAAACAGAGTGGTACAGTTAATATAAAAGGAAGGGATGTCATCCAAAGTGATCTGGATGAGCTTGACATGTGGGCTCACACGAACCTAATAGGTTCAAGAAGGCCAAGCACACTTGGGTAGGTCAATCCCAGATATATGTACAGACTAGGGCAAGTACTCATTGAGTGCAGCCCTGCAGAGGACTCTAGATTCCTGGTGGGTGTGATATGAGCCAGCAGTGGACATTTTCAGCCCAGAAGGTCAACCGTATCCTGGGCTGCATCAAAAGAGGAGTGGTCAACAGGGAAAGGGAGGTGATTGCCCCTCCATCTGTTCTGCCCACACAAGGCACATGTGGAGAACTGAGCTCAGACCAAGGCGGGGCTCAGATCACAAAAGATATGAAGCCATTGGATTGGGTCCAGAGGAAGGACACAAAGGTGACCAGAGGGCTGGAATACCTCAGCTACAAAGAAAGATGATGGGAGCTAGCTGTTTTCATCCTGGCAAACGGAGCTTATAAACAGGAAGAAGACCAATTCTTTACTGGTAGTAACAGGACGAGGAGCTTTATACAAGAAGAAGGGAGGATTATGTGAGATCTTAAGGGGGAACCCTTTACTCAGAGGGTGGTGAGACACCAAAGAAGTTGTGGATGCCCGATGACTGCAGACATTCAAGGCCAAGTAGGACGGTGACCCAGTCCGCATGATCTAGTGGGAGGCAACCCTGCTCATGGCTGGCGGTTGGAACTAGATGATCTTTAAGGTTCCTTCCAATCCAAGCCACTCTACAGCTAGCTGACAAAGTCCTAAATTAGAGGCTTTAAAAATTCATCAAGCTCCACTAAAAGCAATTACAACAAAACTACAAGGCCAAACCAAAACCTTTCAATTGAAAACAAAGTAAAGAAACTAAGGCATTGGCTAATCAACGATCAAACCACAAAACCTGAGAAAACATGTTAGGCAAAAAACACAAATCTGACTTTTTAAAGCCAATAATCACAGAAGAAAAAAAGAAAAAGAAAACTGGGGAGGGGAAGAGTGTTAATAACACAAACATATATGCATGTGTATATGAACATTTCTGTGGGTTCTCATGTAGAAAATTTAAAAAATGAATCAGATCTACTGGGGAACCAGAAGACGAGAAAGAATGAAGCAAATGAGATGGACAGAAGTCTTCGAGAAACATGCCTTCTTCATATTAAGTCACTGCTCTGCAATGAAATTTCTATTGTATTGCCTTTTTTATTATACTAAATGTTGGAATAAGAAATGAAAACAGTAGAAGAGCTGAAAGAAATCAGGAACTACTAAATAAGAAGTTTGATGGGCCCATGTGAAGTGTTTGGAAAGAACATTTACATGAAGTATCTTCATATGTTTGTTAGCATTCTATTATAGAACAGTAGCAATCACAACAGAGGAAAGGTAATAAATTTGTCTACAGAAAGGATTCCATAGTGCATCCAGGCAACCATCAGATATTCTTGAAAGAAAATTAACTAACCACATGAGGAAAAAAATACAGTTTATGCAAAATGACTTCTGGTAATCTTTTGAAATACTTGAAAGGAGTTGCTACAACATTATATTAAAAAGGAAACACTTCCCTAAGTTAGCAAATCCAACTTTAATACAAGAAGTTGCTGAAGACTGAAGAAAAGGATACACAGACATTTTAGGGTGATGAAAACTGGTCACATAAATCAACAGAATGAATGCAAAAATCTAAGATGAATGAGTGGAAGATTTCTGTCCTGACAAATTTTATGCTGATTTTTATTCTGTTAAGTATCAGGTTCACAATCTCCTTTGAAAAACAGGATTTAATACACAATTCACATTTTGGAAAAAGACTATGAGAAAATTACAGATAGCATTATGTTAAATAGAATAGAGTAAGGCTATAAGAATTTTCAAGGCAATTTAACAATTACCTGTATCTAAAACTAACAAGATTATGAAAGTTCAAGATTGTTAAATTTGAGATAACGCAAAGGATTTTGAAGCAGCCACTGAATCAACTAAGTGATTCCGATCTGCACACTATGCACATATCTGACTAAAAGCTAAAGAGACATTATGATGGTATAAGGAATAAAGACTTAACAGCATTCTACTTGCTCCAGTATTTTAAGTGTCACTAGAGAAATTAAAAACTTATTAAGATAGCATTAAGATAAATAAACTTTAATACTGACAAAAAGTATGGAAGGACTAACAGAGGACAAAAGTAGAAAGCATATTCGTTGCCTACCACAGCTTCATTCTAAGACTTATTTCCTAAACTGCCTCATCCCCACTCTCTACAGTAAAAACAAGTTATGGTTTTGACAGGTTTCTGAATCCATCAGATAACTGTAAATATTATAAACTTCAAATGGCCAAAGCCTGTCGGTATGTTAAAGACCTCAGAAATTTGAGGCCTACCAGTGTTCCATGCTCTTCATGGCTCAAGATCTCTGCTAAGCTACCAAAGGCCTGATGCTCTGGAAACCAGCAAGATCTACACTGAGAATGACAATAAAACATGTCACTATTCTCTCCATCTTCTTGCAGGAAAGAACTATAATGTACTTAGACCAACTAAAAAGAATGAGTTCTAAAAATCAGATCTTCTAACTCAAGAATAACTGTAGTTGCTGCAGATTACTGTCCACACTGCAACTGTCCTTAATTTTAAACGTTAAAAGTTCTGTCAGGATTAATGGCACCAAAACCTAAAATTTTATGGGAAATGCATGATTTTTCTTGAAATCTTTAATTCTCTTACAGTTTTTAATTCTCTACAGTTTTAAAGTTAACCATTTATACTCCACAAATGCAGAAGCTCATACAGCATTACTTATATCCAATTAACTCCTTGCAGTGAAAATGAATTTGTTCTCTACTAGAAGATTAGCATATGAAAATCCAAGGCAAAATTAAGAACGTCTGCAGAGCAAGTTACAAACTTAAATTATTTCCAAAGGAATATACGTATTTAGCCTAGCTCAAGGTCACATCCTACACTCACTAGAAAGTTCAGCATTTACAGCTATTTTTCTTCTCTCTGTTTGCTGAGAATAAAGTATTTTTATCCAATTGTATCGGGATTAGCAGATCTTTGAGAGTTTTTTTCCTATAAAAACAAACAATATTTGCGTAACCGTTCCAGAGCTGTATTTAAAAATGTGTGGTAGATTTTTAATTTTGAAGCTATACCGTCCAGTGATGTTTTGTATCAATGCAGAACACTACAGCAGATAACAGATATGAGGAGATTATTAAGTACTAAAGTTTTAAACAGCTAAATATGCATCCACAGAAATACGAGCATTTAAAATAACATTCATCTTAACCAGAGAAAGTCAGTTCTATTTAACAAAAGTACCTACAGCATCTGCAGACAAATCACACTAATTTTACTTAATTTTTACTTAGATTTTACTGAAAGATTGATTAGCTTTTCTAAAATTGCTCTCCTAAATTAGGAGACTATATTTGAAAGAACACAAAGTCATAAAATACTGGATCTTGTTTCTTTTATACCATCAACGCTGAACCTCAGTGCCAATTTGCCAATGCTTACAGAAATTCACAGAAGTTCTCGAAATAGGCATGTAGTTACTTTTAAGTGTCAGAAATTGATACAGAATATAGGAAAATTCCACTTGAAAGTATACACACAGTATCTTAGCAGCAAATTGAGCAGCACTGCAAAGCATATGCACATACATAAAATGTTCACCTTTCAATCTGACACCAACATGAAGAGTATGTATGCTCTAAATTCCTTAAGAAAAGATTTTTTATACAAGTCCTTCCTGTAAGTACTGAGACATTTAAAGGTATTTTCGCATTTGAGGAAACATAGAACAAATATTCATGCTAATGTTTTTTCCCCTTTGCCTGAAAGTGTATTGTTTACTTCTGATTTTACACAATAAAATATTCATAAAGTGTACATTCATGTTATGACATTCTAAACACACTGGAGTTATAAAATATCAGGGTCAAAAATACAAATAAAGTTTATTTAACTGCACTTCAATTAAAGTACCACAGTTTTACCAAAGTATTCTGTAGCATCTTGTCTTAGTAACTTACGTGTAACTTACCATATTATGATCCTGTCGTATGTAAAACCTAGCTTTTCTTCAGCATGGCCAGTATTACAAAGAAGCTGAAAATAAAAAAAAAACAAAACAAAACATATGTTACTTACAACTCTATAAAAAATGACTGTATAAAACGTAAGATATTTGGTAGTACTTCCCAAGTAATGCAAGGAATTTCATTCATCACAAGGGGAAGCATACCAAAAATCAGACTTCCTTGATTATTTTTGCTGTTTCTATATACATGAGATACAGAAGTCATACTCCTCTCAGAAGAGAAATGTTTGCACAACTGAATAACTTGCCTACTGACAGATTTTTCAACTTTACTTTCAAATGCTATGTTTCAGATTGTTCCTCTAGCTGCTCTCAGGCTATCTGAAGAACATGTACTTGTTGTGCAACTGGTAACCTCAGCAGAGATTAGAAAGCCTAAAGAATGTAAAACAGTCACACTGAAAAACACAGCTAGGGTAATAGTTTTGAAGCAAAGCTAGACACAGACTGTCTACAGCAGCACAAGCACACAAAAAAGGAGAAGCTGAAAATGTGTCCCACAACAGATATTCAGCCTGACCTGCCATAAATTCCTCAGGATTTGCAATTTTTGGTACATCTAAAATAAGTGCAAAGGTTAAATGTACCTACATAAGTTCCTACATAAGCTGTAGGAACTTCTAAACACTTCAAGCTCATTTGTCAGTTATAAGGCTTAATTTTTATAAATGCAGTTTTCAAGGCCAAAACCAGTCTCAGAAAGAGCAAATCAGGTGCATGTCATGCTTTAACATATCGAGAAAAAAAAATTATCTTATTCTAAAAGATCTGATACTGTTCTCCTTCATATGAGCAGCAAAGAAGTTCCTAGACATCTTATTTACTGCCCATTCCTAAAACAATAAAACAGTTCTACAGCCTAATGTGAAATCACTAGAAATAAAGGACTTCCAAAAACTCAAGTGACTAATAACTGACTGCAACAGTTCTGCAGTTTGTCCCTTTCTTTTGAAAGAGATACTCATTGAATTCTTAGTCACAGAAGTATTAACAGCTTTTCTCTGTCAGGAAAGTCAGTGTTTGTGCAACTAGTGAATATCACAGTAATTATTAAAATACAGCATATGCTGCCTATTTATTATTAATTCAATTTTATTAGCACAACAGTCACTCAAAATGAAGATATTTTAATTTTATGCTCAACAAGAACAAATTCTTGCAAGGACTACATTACGTATTAAGAAATATTTTTTAATTCTGAGAAAAATGCACAACAACTATGCTGAAAACCAAAGCTGTTAGTGAGACAGAGAATTGTAGCCCAAAGATAGAGCTCATCGAGGTCAATTTAATACTCTAAGAAAAATGTAACCTTGCCAATTTTCCACTTTTCTTAGCAGAGGCTATAAACAGAAATAATAAAGTATACGGAAAGTTATTATACAACCAGCTTCCCCCACCTCTAAATTTTAAATAATAAAACTAGGCAATTGCATGCCTTAACTGGTTGTGACAATATGTGAAATCCTACTGTCAATCTGTTTTTATGCCATATTGCTGGACTGCCTAAGGCCACCACTGCTGTCTTAGCATTTCTATTGATATCTCATGAACTGTAAAAATTGGCTGGCAGAGTGTAAGCAGAACAGTGTGAGAAGACAGCAAGTAAAAACAGTTTCTTGTTCACTTCAGACAAGTTCATCAGCAGTCATTCAGGTTCAGTCATTATATATCTGGACCTCTCCCCTAATTCTTCCCACTAGCAAATGAGAAAACTGAATTTAACATACACCAGACCATTTTCAGCACCTTTTTCCCTATATTCTGACATAAGTACAAGCTGCTTATTTCAATGGTTCTGCAGATCAACCTCAGAATACACTCCTGCAGAGGCACAGTTCTGTTTAATGTGCAAAGGGAACTATAATTACAAATGCAGACATTTTACTTAAAAAGCAGTTGGCCCTGGTAGTGGACTGTCATTTCAGGTAATCTCAAGCCTTACTACTGGATGAGATTTCATTTTTTTCTTTCATATTCTCCCATAAACTAGAAACAGCATTGCAACTAATGTGCGCACAACAGCAGGCAGCAGAGAAACTCATATCCTGAAGTGCCACTATGCACTCAGTTCTCAATTCTCAAGACTAGACTAGAGCTAGGGCAATATAACTGCTCTGTGTCAAACACACACAGTGTGGCTATTAGCTCCTTGGTACCAACTGTTTTCAACAGTTTGATCTTAGTTTGAAACTCAATCGTGAAAACTGATGATATTTTGTAACTTCAGAAAAGTTTAACTGCTATATGAATTTCTGAATATGATAATTGTTATCAGTATGTGAAGTATGTGCATGGATGTGAAAAACCCCTCACAAGAGAATAATAGTTAAAACTAACTAAGAAAAATGTAAGCACAAGACTAGCTACTAGTTAGTTATTCTCACTCCAAGGGGCCACCATTACTTAAATATTGGATCTCTTTAGAATTTGCACAGTATCATGTTCTTACAGGATTACCAGCTAGAAAATAATATAAAAGATGGACAGCAAGTTCAGAATTCGAAATATTTCACTGATTCAAAAGGAGTGCACAAATTGGATACGAAAATTCAGTTAAGTGAACACAGTATCGTAACAATCAACAACCACACATTAAGAGTCACAGGAGAACTGTGAAGAATCCAGCAGAGAAATACAAACACTCCAGAAATGACAGAGTATCAAATATGGAGTATGGTAGCTATTTCAAAAGTAAGGTAAGATTTATGAGTTACAGTAGTATATAACCTAAACAATTGGATATGTTTATTTTAAACATAAGGTAGTCCTATTAAGAGTGTTTTCTATGCAATAGGCATATATCATATTTGAGACTAAGAGACTTTTTTCTACTTCGCAGGCTGCTCTTAGACTGCATAAAGAACAAAATTTTTGGTTCTACATTTCAAGACCGGACATACTGATCTAAGTGGAGCAGCAAAATACATACAGGAGATAGAAAATACATTGAGTTAATTTACCTAAGAAAAAAAACCCAAACACTTATAAAGTAAAGCTGGATTGATATATATTTAAAAAGGAAGAAAGTTGCAGAGGCTGCTTGTAAATAAGATACTGTTCAGCTGGTCTGAATGCTTTGGGTATTTGCTTGGTTATAAAAGACTGGTCTGAAATATATTTAAGGCAAAATCTTTCTACTTTCTCTCCATTTCACTTTCAAATAACATTACGCAGATCAATGAATCTGGACCTAATGCAGTAATTTTTGTAGTTGGCTCAATTCCTGACAGACAAGTCTGCAATGCAGGCCAGAAGGCCAACGGCACCCTGGGTTGACCAAGAGAAGCGCAACCAACAGGACAAGGGAGGTTAATTCTGCCTCTCTACTCTGTTCTTGTAAGATGCTACCTGGAGTACTGTGTTCAGTTCTGGAGCCCCCAACACAAAAAGGACATTGAGCTGTAGGAGCAGGTCCAGTGGAGGGCCACAAAGATGATCAGAGGGCTTGAGGGAGGAGCACCTCCCGTACAAAGACAGGCTGAGAGAGCTGGGGCTCTTCAGCTTGGAGAAGGCTCTGGGGGGTCGTTATAGCAGCTTTCCAGTACCTGAAGTGGGCCTACAGGAAAGCTGGGGAGGGACTTTTTATAAGGGCATGTAGCAATAGGATAAGAGGAAATGGCTTTAAACTGGAAGAGGGTAGATCTAGACTAGATATTAGGAAGACATTCTTTACTATGAAGATGGTGAAGCAGTGGAACAGGTTGCCTAGTGAGGCTGTGGATGCCCCCTCCCTGGAAGCATTCAAGGCTGGATAGGGCCCTGAGAAACCTGGTCTAGAGAGAGGTGTCCCTGCCTATAGCAGCGGTTGGAACTAGATAACCTTAAAGGTCCCTTCCAACCCAAACCATTCTATGATTCTATGATATATTCCTTACTGTAATGCTTAACAGTTAGTATAAGTGTGTAGGCACAAGCATTATCAGAACACTAAACATCTTCTTTTACTTTGACAATGTTATAGTTCACTAAAATGGCAAAAATTACCCTACCATTTAAATTCCTAGGATTAATCAAATACACTTCATGTTTTTTACATTTACATATATATAAATATACACATACACACAATCTGTATTTTGCATGTTAGAACTGCCTACAGCTAAAATTTAAAGTTTTTGATATAATGGTAAGTTAATGGGAATAGCAGAAAACATCTCTGAACAGATGATTTAATATTAGCATGAAACAATACTCTAGGCCAAACAGTGACTAACTTACTGTGAGGGGTATTTTTTTTTTTGTATGTTTACTGTCAGCTATGAGTTTTTCATGCTACTTGGATGAGTCATAGCAATATGAGCAACACATCAACATGTCTTGGATACAGTAGCTGAAAACAAAACCACAGGAGGTCAACAGCATACACAAACTAAGCGCACAGACTCTTCCATGTTTAAAACTGACAGAACAGTTATAGCAATTAACAAGAAAAATTTGGTATTATTCCATATGTCCAAAATGCTATTATTACACTAATTTTTGAAATACAGATTGAATCACAGCAGTAATATAAACGAAGAGGTCGCTTAGCAGATTTCAGTCTTACTAGAAAACTGTATGGAAACTACAGACTCTTGATTTAGACCCATTTCTTTCTTCTTCAAGTTTGTTCCATAGCTGAATATCCCTATCAGCTACATACTTTATCAAGAGGTACCAAGTTTTATTCATGATGGTATAGTTATTTGGATGAACGTTACAGTCAGTAATTACTGCATTCAGACTTTATGATCTTTGGTACAAGACAGACCCTAAAATGACAGTGGAAGCAGAAGACAAAACAATGCAACGGTCCATGAATCAGACAGACACAGACTTTGGGACAGCTCCCAAACTCAGCCCACTTTCTATCAAAATCCAACAGCATGCTCAAAAGCTAGCAGAAAGAGCAGTAGAGTCTCATTAGACAATAAACCAAAAAGTTTTTAAGCTGACTGATAATTTTCTGTATGATTTATGCAATTCAGCTACTAGGGTCCAGATAAAAAGAATTATGCTACATTTT